ATGTTTCGTAATCGTGGATAAACGAATTGGCGAAAAAGTTTGCCACGTGTAAAACCGACTTTAACATACGAACTAGAAGAGAAGATCGGAAAAAACACAAAGACGCGATATTGCACTCATTAAGTTAGAAAATCAGAACCCAAAGTTACAAAGGTACCTGCGGTTTGACTTCAATGATACACTGGCCACTTTTCACAGTCACTGGTTAATTTGCTAATACACTCTCGAGATGGTCTAACATCTCCTTCGCCTGGCTAGACCCGAAACTCGGGTCTGCATCTCGATAGTGCCACACCAAGGAACTCTCCTTGGTTTCAATAGAGGAGCCATCAGTGGCCTCTGTATACAATTTCATAACAGGTTCAGCTATTTCCTTCCACCCAAACTCGCTACTCTGTCCACAAACTTCCCACTTATCGTCACTAGACCACCTGAAACAACGAAAACTTCGACGTAAGTGCACCTATTGAAGAACCACTACAACAAGAAGAAAAAGGGAAAAGGGGTAAACATCAAACCTCATGAAATAGCCATGTTCAGCTGCAATTCCGAGTTTATTACATGGAGAAAACCATTTGTCTAAACTTTCTCTTCCTCTTCCACTTACGACAAAAACTATATTCTTGGTGTCACCGGAGAGCGTGTTTATGATTGAGATGACCTCCGCACTTGGGGCCTTATTATGTGATGCTTGAGGCATTACTGTTCCGTCATAGTCGAACAGTATAGCCCTATTTTTTGACCTTAAATACACGGATTCCATGTGATCAATAGACAACTGTCTGAAGTTAGGGTCAAGTGCTACAACCCTGAATCCAAAGCTTAAACCAATACCCCAACATCGTCTTCTAAAATGGTCTTTGCATGTCCTTTCCATATCCTGGAAGAAGCTACGAGACCAGAACGCTACATCATGTGCGCTAACATACCTATAATGCTTCTCGTGTCGCAACTGCTTCTCAGCATCAACCATTGATATTGCCTCATTCATTGCCTCGGCAGTCGCTTCGATATTCCAAGGGTTTACCCGAATCGCACCACTGAGTGAAGGAGAGCAACCAATAAATTCCGATACCACCAGCATGCTCTTCTTAGGCCCGCTTGATTCAGAGACTCCCTGCCGGCATGCAACATACTCGTAAGGAGTAAGGTTCATCCCATCTCTCACAGCCGTGACTACAACACACTCGGCTATAGTGTAGTATGCAACCCTTTCACTCAGGGATACTGGCTTATCAATGAAGATGAGTGGTTCATAACCAGTTTGTCCGAAAGCCTGATTTATTCTCATGCAGCTTGCCTTTATTTCAGCGTGCGTGCTCTCGAGATCTTTCCCTCTTCCCCAAGCAGGGTTTGTGATCTGTACAAGCACTGCTTTTCCCTGCCACTTTGGGTGCCGTTTCAACAACTGCTCTGTTGCCAATATCTTCAAGTTGACACCTTTAAAGACATCCATGTCATCGACTCCAAGCAATACAGTCTTTCCTTCAAACTGTCGTTTAAGCTCACCTATTCTTGACTCCTCATCTGCAAGTCTCAGTGCAGATTCGATCTGTTCCATGTGGACTCCTACTGGCATGATCTTTATCCCAATTGTCCTTCCATAGTACTCCAGTCCTATATATCCCCTTTTGGACTGATACTCTAAACCAAACATTCGACTACAACAAGACAGAAAATGGCGAGCATAATCAAAAGTATGAAAACCAATTAGGTCCGAATTCAACAGTGCCTTTAGGATCTCTTCCCTCACCGGCAAAGTTCTATATATCTCGGACGAAGGGAAGGGACTATGCAGAAAAAAGCCCATTCTCAACCTATTAAACCTTCTCCTCAGGAAGGTAGGCAGCACCATCAAATGATAATCATGGATCCAAACATAATCATCTTCCGGATTAATAACTTCGATAACCCTTTGAGAGAAAATCTTATTCGCAGCAACATATGCCTCCCACAAAAACCTATCGAATGTACCTCCATGATTCACTGAAAGCGGAAGCATATAATGGAACAGTGGCCACAAATTCTGTTTACAGAAACCGTGATAGAACTTCGTGAAAATCACGGGCGGCTAAAATGCAGGGACACACTTAAACTTATCCAACAAATGCTTCGCAATCTCGTCTTGTTCGTTGACATCAACATCAACCTTCAACGAATCAACATACAAAACCTCCATTTGTTCAGCCAACCCATCTTTTAACTGTAATAACAACGAATAATCGTCCCAACTAAAAGTCCACCCTTTGTTATCCGGTCTACACTTAGCTTTAACAGGTAATTGATTCGCTACGATAATAATTCGATCCTGATTAACTGAAGACGGTACATCGGAGCTCACAGTATTAGCCTGATCATCATCAAGCTCGGAAATTACCCCGGGAACCGTCATGACTCGGGTCAGCCGTTTCTTATCACGTGGCTGACTCATTACCGAGAAATTGCCCTCGGCTAAATCCAAAAGATTAGTATACGATCTTGACATCATCTTTACCCCTCTTTTCTAATTACTACCCTCAACAACAATCAAACAGTTCAAAACTACAAAACAAGATCCTTCAAGGTTTTGATTTCTCTGACGAAATTCACTCTTTTCTGCATTGGTATTTAAAACAGACATCATCTTTACAATAATCAAAACAAACCCATGAATGAATTCGATCCAAATTTGTAAAAAAAAAAATCTAAAAATACCCAGATGAATAATTATATCGAAATTCAATCAAAACTAAAATAAAAACAAATTATGAGCCGGATGAATGCAAATAATGAAACATCGAAACTAACATTACCCTTCAAAGCACTGAGCTTTTTGTCAAGAACAGGGAATTTTCTCGGACGGGGTTCATTCCGGGGAAGGAACGAATGCAGGGTTTGTTTTGTGGTCCTCTGATGATTTCATCATTTCAACGAGTCGCATTTGCAAATCAAAAGGGAAAAAATGGCCTTTTTTGGGCTTGTTTTTTACTTTTTCCTTTCTGCATGCAGCTTGCAAGTGTTGGTTATATTATATGGCGACCGACATTGGAGAAACAAGCATGCATGGTGGCGCTGCTTCACTTTCGCCGTTCGATGGTACACAAGTTGATCTTCGCCGTTCTTTAAACACGAACCCGTTTCCCTTTTTTCCATTTGTCTTTTGTAGAGAGCGTTTGGGAAGTGATTGTGTGATTGGATTTAAGAATGATTAGGTGTAATTATATAGTTATATGTTTGATAATTAATTATAATTTGTGAATCATACTAAATTTAATGTAATTATAGGATCGATATTCTTTATTAAATTTAATTAAAATTAAAATTAAATTAAGATAAAGTACAGTAATGGTCTCGATTATAGGATATCGTTTTATACTTTTGAATATCAAAAGTTACAAAATGGTCATCTGACTATAGAGGGTTGCTTTGTTGAGTTCGACGACTATTAAAAGTTATAAAATGGTCACTAGGTTATTTATTATGTTCCAAACGCATCATTTTTCGTTAAAATTGACGGTATTCTGAACTAAATGTAAACCTGCTGACTTTGATATGATAAATTCTGATATCAGAATCTCAAATAATTATCATATCCCATTTATCATGTTATTGTCCAACTTAGACAACCGTCAATTTTTTTTTACAGAAAATGATGAGTTTGAAACATAATGAATAGTCGGAAGATCATTTTATAACTTTTAATAGTCGAAGGACTTAACAAAGCAATACCCTATAGTCGGAGAACCATTTGTATATTTTACCCATTAAATTAATAGAATATAAATAACAAAAATTAAATGAATAATTATATAAATTTTAATAATTATCACGCCTCTTCTTTTGTCTTTTGGAGAATATCATTATGTAATTTGATTGATATTATTTAAATAATTAAATAATTTTATTGTTAAATTTAAAAGATCGATGATCGGATCAAATCTATCTTTTTTTAATATAATCTCTTATGGTTAAGTGATTATATTCATGGGGGTAGTTTACCCTATTCTTTTAGAATTATAAATAAAAAGTATTAAAAATCAAATCAAAGTTTTAATTATAGTTTAAGGACTAAGCTGGATATTATCACTTGTTATTAACGTGCAATGCTAACATGAAAACGATTATATAACGATTTATCTTAATGACTAAAATAAAAAGCTAATAAACTTTAGTTACTAAAAAATTAGTTTCTATGTAACATTAGACAGAAAACACAAGCACCACATTTAGAAAAAAAAATAACAAGTTCAGGTACCATGTTAGAAAGAAAACAAACTTATATACCAATATATATATATATATATATATATATATATATATATATATATATATATATATATATATATATTAAAGAAATGATAGATTCAGGGACCAGATCGTATATTAAACCTTTATTTATTTGAGTAAACTACATAAATGACCACCCAACTATGGGTTTGGTCTCGAAATGACCATAGTTTTTAAATATGCGTCAATATGACTATTGAACTATTTAAATGATTTCAATATAGTAACTGCCGTTAACATTTAAAGACAATATTTATATGGCAAGTTAATAAAATTGGTATAATTAGGGCGTGTGTCCTCATAAAGTTTCGTATTCATAGCATTGGGATTCTGCTTTGTTTTCTTCCATTTTGGTCACTATTTATATATGATTTGTTTTCTTGGATTTTCATTTAATGCAATTTGATCCTGATTCTATTTTTAATTTGTCTAATGCCTTAATTTGAGCATTAATTTTAATTTTTTTTATTATAGTCATGTATTAAATTTATAGGTTAAATCCCCTAGCTTGGGTGCTTATATTGATGTAAATTTGAAAATGTTAACGGCATGCGACTTTATTGAAACTATTTAAATAGTATACTGGTCATGTTGATATAAATTTGAAAATAGTGGTCATTTAGAGACCAAGCCCATAGTTGGGTAGTCATTTATGTATTTTACCCTATTTATTTTCTAGAGAGATCTTGAGAAAAAACGCTTAATGTACTTGAAACTGATCTTCAATCGAAGCTAAAGAGAAAAGGGAAAGTAAAAGATGGCTGGTTATAGAGCAGAGGACGACTATGACTACCTATTCAAGGTGGTTTTGATCGGCGATTCCGGCGTGGGAAAGTCCAATTTGCTCTCCAGGTTCACCAGGAACGAGTTCAGCTTGGAATCCAAGTCCACCATTGGCGTTGAGTTCGCAACTCGGAGCTTAACCGTCGATGGAAAAGTCATCAAAGCTCAGATTTGGGACACTGCTGGTCAAGAAAGGTCTCCATATCACCATTCATTTGTCTTCCTTTACTCGTTTCTTGATCTGGGTGTTTTTAATTCTCAGCTGATTTTGCAAAAGAAAGTTGATGAAATATTTGATTATTGAAGTGTTTTGATTTTACCTGAAATGGAATATAGGTAGTTTTTTCTTCCTTCCTTGCATATCTCTAGATCTGTCAGCTGCATGGGTCTTTTTTCTTACAAATTTAGTTACTTAGATTTTGGGTCTTGCATAGGTTGAACATAGATTTGGACTGTGAATCAGCAGATCTCAATGCTTCTTCAACTTGTAATTGAGTTTCCATGTGATAATTCAGTTGACTTGTGTGAGTTCCACTACAATTTGGTTTACAAGAAACAGATGACCTTCACCTGTGGCCGAAAACTTTGTATATTAGTATTAATTACTTGCCTGCTTCATAATTCTGTCAGTGTATATACACAAATAGATAATAGTTTAACCCAGTCTGCGAGTGGAATCTGGAAGTCAGGTGTTTAGCATAGATATTTCAGGTAGCCAATGGGACCTTGTAGGTACGGCTTGGCGAATTCAGTGATGGAAGAAATGACTTGAACAGGTAAATAGGAGTTAGGTTGTCATTGGGATATTTTAGTTATTGTGTGGTTCGGGACTAGTTTTTTCTTTGTTAAATTGTTGTTCTTTTATTCTTATGCGCTAGAGAAGTCAGTACTTGTGGTTTATAATGCAGTATGGCATACTAACTTTTAGGAGAGTAAAAAAACATAATTTTTCGATTTAACTAAAGGGCTAAGAGACTTAAATTGTTCTTTTGCGCCAGCTTTCCCCCTAGCTTCGTCCCTGGTTGAATTTGTAGATTTTACGGCCTGGATTTCATACTTGGCTGGCCAGTGTCAACTTACCAAGAATTTTGGTATAGCATATGAAAATGAAAACATTTCAATATGAAGTCCCTTGGATCCTAGAACACATATGTGCTATAATTGTTGATGTTGCCAGTATCATTGCCTGGGTCGGTTTTGGTTTCCCTGTTTTAGTAGGGAGTAAGGCACTAGAGCATCGTCCTCCCTTCTCTGGACCAGCGTAAAGTAAGGGAAGGAAGAGGTGAGGATAGGCAGAGAAGAACAATGGAAACGTACATTTAACAATTTTTCCGAGGCTTACAATCTCTACATGGCTTAGATTCGTAATTCAGATAAGGGCAGTATGATTGAATTGCATTGCCATCATGAATAAATAGCTGCACTACCATAGTTTTAGTTCCTATGAATCAAATGCATCATTGAAGCTCGATGTTTTCGGAGAAACGGTCTCTTTGTACTGAAACGAGTGTTAGAAATCTTTATGTTCCACACTTCTTATGCCTGTTATATGTTTTCTCAACTTCTCTATTCAAATTTATAGGTATCGTGCCATAACAAGTGCCTATTACCGAGGAGCTGTTGGTGCACTTCTTGTGTACGATGTTACCCGACACTCCACGTTCGAGAACGTTGAGAGGTGGTTAAGAGAGTTAAGGGATCACACAGATCCCAACATTGTAGTCATGCTCATCGGTAACAAATCTGATCTCCGTCACCTTGTGGCTGTCTCAACCGAGGACGGGAAGTCTTTTGCCGAGAGAGAGTCCCTCTACTTCATGGAAACCTCCGCTCTTGAAGCTACAAATGTAGAAAATGCATTTGCCGAAGTTCTTACACAAATCTACCATATCGTGAGCAAAAAAGCCATGGAAGCAGGCGAAGAAGGGGCTAACTCGGCTGTTCTCACCAAAGGTGAGAAAATCGATGTCGGTATAGATGTCTCCGCGATGAAGAAAGGGGGTTGCTGTTCAAGCTAGATTGTAGTTAATCTGAAGAAGTCTGATTGTTTACCGATGTGGCTTGGGATTGTATGCTGCATCAGTTTCGTTGTAAACCTTGGTTTCGAAGAATCATCTTGAAAGAGCGCCAAAGTGTGGGAGTTCTGGCAAAGATCGATTCGGGTTTCGGAATTTTGCAGGGTATTATAGTATTGCATTTGAAATAGGTGAATTGGGGTGGTTCTCCAATTCATTTTTACAGAAGAATTACAATTGGGATGCCAATGATGTTCTGTATTATTAGTGTAGGAATTGCTTACATTTTGCTGCATGTTACAAAGGATAATGGTGTTAACAATACTGCAGGCAATGAACTATACATTTGCAGTAGCCATTTTCTATGTTGAAAGCCAGTTTAGTTTCTAAAAGAAAGACCATTTTGAATTTGATGGTTTGGATTCATTTCAGACAAATAAATATTGAATGATAAATATGATTCGGGATATCCGAATTTATAGATGAATGTATAGTTCATAGCTAGCATTCAAACAACAATCCATTGTCGTCCAGTGGTTAGGATATCTGGCTTTCACACGGGAGACCCGCCAATGGAATATTTGTTTTTTTCCGTTTGTACTGCAATGGCTAAGAAATGTCTGCAACAAACTCTAGCTTGAAGAAGATCTGTGGAATGTGCTATTCATATTAAATATGAAATTTGATGCATTTGGACTTGAAAAGTGCAGGCTGAGCTGAAAGCAGTCATCGTGAGGAAATGCATTACGGGGCAAATCTCCTTTGGATGTAGCTAAACTTGGACCCAATTGAATTAAAAATTCATTTTAATTTAGCATTTGAAAGTCAAATTAGGAGATATTTTTGTTAGAAATTTCAAGAAATCAGCTCCTCTTATCCAGCAAGTTGCCGAACCTCCATAGCCAAGGTAAGTTTTCCCCCCAATTTTAGGTCCATTTTAATTAGATTTTGGACTGAAGTGTGAAATAGAAAAAATAATCTCCATTAAATTCTCTTTCATTTGGTAGTAAATTCTCATTGTTTCATGCTTGATTTGTGAAAGTTGCGGTTTTGGTGGATGAAGGGGAGACATTAATTTAATGAAATAAGGTTGAATTTAGATGTTAGTAGTGTTGTAGAATTGAAATCAAGCATGAAAATTGATTGGAAATCATTAGGGGTTAAAGTGAAATTTTCGGCAAGTATGGAAAATTTTAGAAAAATGTTGAATTTGAATACTCTGATATGGAATTGATTGAGAATGGTTGAAATAGAATGAAAATGAATTTTGGGTGATGAATCCATATTGGAATCAAAATTGAGATCTAGGGAAATTAATCCCCTAATTTAAGGCCATATAGTGGAAATATGGGGACAATATATAAAAATGTATATCAATGATTGAATGTACTTGGAATTGTGTTTTGGATCAAATTGAATATTGATTGAGTTGTTAGAGACTGATTCACAAAGTTTGAGAAATTACAGGATTATAAGGTAATTTTGGAAAGTTAAGAGTATCATGCTGAAAATTTATGGTTTGAATGATAGAATGTTAACTTGGATTGATTTGGGAAGTTGAATAATCTTTAGGGGTCAAATTATAAGTTGTTGGAAAGTTGTGGGGACTATTGTGATGTATTGTGAATAGTTGTGTTTAAGGCTTAAATTAAGGGACTTGAAAGGTTAATTTTTTTTATGTTTAAATTAGCTTTGCATTGGTGATAGAATTTGTATCGAATATGTTGTGATGGTACTTTTAGAATTTTATTTGGATTCGAACATATTATATTAGTTAAAGTATTAATTTGAGTTCGAAATTGTTATGTCGGGATAATTGACATTTGTATAGGTCGTAGTCGTATTAAAGTTTCAAAGTGAACTAAAAGAGAGAGATAAAGTGTATAAGGAAAGCGATAAAAACGGTAGAAAGCTAGTGAGGCATCTGGTGAGAGAGATAAGGTGTATAAGGAAAGCGATAAAAATTACTAGAAAGCTAGTGAGGCATCAGGTGAGTGCAACTAATTTTTTAACGAAATAATATGAAGAAGATTTGCGATGAGTCAACTTCGATCGTTTTTATTTAAAATATTTATTTAAAAGTAGTAATTGAGCATAGATTTTATCAAATTGTTTTATTTTATAGTGTATGATTGTTTTGGGTATGAAATGCCCAATGTAATGTTTACAAGATTTTATTCGAATTGAATATATGATTAGATTACATGCAAAATAGCTTACGATTTTTAGTAAGCCCATTGTGTGTAAGTGAGAGTTAATGGTACAATTGACATGCTAAAATGTGTAGTGAACAAATACAAGCTTAAGAGTTGCACCTGTATAAATTATTTATATGACTCGTGTATCTTTGTGGTGCCGAGATGGAGTGATCTGGTGCAATCTACAGGGTATTTTATGTGTTATATGATACGACACTGTTACTCATACGACTCAAGTATCTTAATGATATATGAGGTGGAGTAACCTAATGCATTTTACGCGTATTACTTGTAGCAATTTCAACTGCAAAGTGGGCTCTCACTCATATGACTCAAGTACCATAGATTTCTCATGAAAATACAGTGGGTAAAGATATGAATTAAAATATAAAAATACATATTTAATAATAGTTTAAAACAAAGAATTTTAATAATTATTTTATTTTATTTTATTTTTATGCATGATTTATTTAAATGATGTTTTTATATACAAATATTTATTTTATATGTTAGCTATTTTATAAGTTGTTTCACTAAGTAAAATACTTACCGTATAATTAGTTCACACGTAGGGAAAACAAAATCAACAGAATAGAGACATCCAAAATCAGTATGACATCTTTCTGATATTTTTTATATTCATAGTTGACATGTATATATTTTATTTTGATGTTCAGGTTCAAATATGTTAGAACTCTTTTTGCTTATACAATAAGTGAATAATATTTTAAATCTTTTATATTATAGTTTTTAAATGCAATTACTTAATTTAATGTCGGTTTTAAATGAAACAAAATTTTATCGACTGATACATACGTTTTATGTGACATTTCTACCTCGTATATGGCGAGATAGGGGTGTTGCACATAAAGCCAAATCATAAATCTCTTGAAGAAAAAAGATAACCAACAAAACCCGAAAATAACTCAACTTAGCTCTCAACTACACTCCTAAGCTCCAATATTCTGAGACTTGTTAAGAATGACACCTTCATATTTGACTTGGAACCACTTCATGGCATCTTCCTTGGTGACTCTGTGCTGAATGCCAACACGCGACTTGCACCTACGGCGGCGGCCCACGCGGTACCCGGCTCGTTCGAGAACGACATAGAAGTCCATACCATAGATACCAGTTGAAGGATCATACCTAGAAAGACAGCAATACTTGTAAGTTTATGCTCTCATGGAGCCCACAACATGAATATAGAATCCATCGATATAACTTCTTCGTACTAACTCAGTCATGGCAATAAAAGGACCGACATCCACAAGATACCCCTCATACCATACCATACCATCCACAAGGATGATTAATTAAATCCTCGTGCCATTATGAATTCACATACCCAAAAGTCGAAATAGTCAAAAATTCCGACTCGAAAACAAAAGCATTGCAGCATACAAACAAGTGCATTGCCATTCAAGTTATAGTATTTTAATTACAACGTTCAGTGAAAATCAATAGGCTAAAGCTAGCAAAAATACCTAACATAGCTCTGTCATGATCATTCTTGTTAACTTTTGATAAATCAAAATTTGATAGTGAAGGTTACCCAAAATAAACTTACTTGATGCCACGATCGATGTGCTCTTGGATACCGAATCCGAAGCAGCCAGTATCACTGAAGTTCCTCCTCAAAAGATCATATTCCTTAACCTTCAATCCACTCTAAAGAAGTTGCATCGCCTTCTCTCCCCTCACCGTAACGTAGCACGTAATCTTCTCGTTACGCCTAATTCCAAAAGATCTCACAGTATACCTAGCTGTTTGCATCAACCCAGATTTTTATTTTCATTAACAACAAAAACCAAACAAAAGAGGTTCAAATATAGCGTCAGTCCCTGTACTTTTTCAAAATTTAAGATTTAGTCTATGTAGTTAAAAAGTCTAAATATTTTCGATTTAAATATCACAGTCCGATTTATCGTTGGAGCCATTAATATATATATATATATATATATTTTTATCAAATTTCACATTCAAGAGCATAAGCCCCGTTGTATATTTCAACTTGGTTTATAGTTTTGCCAGCTTAACATATGATATGTTAATAAACATGCCAAGCTGACAAAATCTGACAGACAATATTAACAGCGCAAAAGATTGAACTAAGATTTCTAAATCGAAAATGCAGGAAGATTAAAATTTAAACTCTTTTATTAAATTGTTTAAGAACAGCAATTAAATCTCAAGGTTTACTAAAGTTCAAGGGTTTACAGTATATTTATACCAAACAGCTAAACAGCAGCATTAGGTTGAGAATTTTTACCCTTGGAGAAAACTGGGGTTTGACCACTGAGTTGTTCCAAGACCTAAGCAAAAAGCAAAAAACGTGGTTAATAGATTTTGGGATTTGAAAATGAATGTGCTTTGGGTTACCTTGGCAGCACGGGTGAGACGATCACCGCTTTCACCGACGGAGATGTTGAGGACCAGCTTTTGAACTTTTATTTCCCTCATTGGGTTCGATAATTTCTTCTCCGATGCCTTCCATAATTACCCAAAAACAACAAAAATGGTAATGAGATTATGGATGAACATAAAAGTGCAAAAATGTTCGAATCAATCGACTAGATTTAGAGAAAGAGAAAGAGAGATACCATGGCGACGTGAAGCAGAATGAGAGCAGCGGTGCTGTTGGTAAGCTGCTTGATAGATCTAACAAATTATTTTATTTTATGAAGATTAGGGTTCTTATATGAGCTCCAACACCCGCCAAACGACTTCCCTTTCAGGTTGGGTTTTGGGAAAAACGAATTGGGTAATTATTTAAAATTTTAAGTCAAGTGTTATTTTTCCTTTTTCTTTATACATGTTATTTTTTTTTTGATAAACTACGCATTTAGTATCTAATTATCAATTTTGATCCTTTTAGTGCCTAAATTTTTAATTTTTTCAAAACCATACATAACGTTTAGTTTTTAGTAACTCTCCGTTAAAAACTTATCAAATTTTTAATACTTAAACTATCAGTTTTGATCCGTTTTAGTTACTAAACTTTCAATTTTTTCGAAACTTAACGTTAAGTACTAAAATGAAACAAAAACTAAACTTTAAGTATGATTTTGAAAAAATTAAAAGTTCGGGTACTAAAACGGACCAAAATCGATAGTCTAAGTACTAAATGCATAGTTTTCTCTTTTTAAAGTAATTTTAATCTTGAGTAAACTATATATTTAGTACTTGAATTGTCAGTTTTGATCCGTTTTAGTATTTAAACTTTTAATTTTTTTAAAAAATTATACATAACGAATAGTTTTTGTTTCATTTAAGTACCTCTCTTTTAAAAACTTAACGCGTTTAGTACTAAACTATCAGTTTTGATCCGTTTTAGTACCTAAACTTTCAATTTTTTTCAAAACTTAAAGTTAAGTTTTTAGCATGTGTACTAAAATGAAACAAAAACTAAACTTTATGTATGTTTTTCATAATTGAAAGTTTAGGTACTAAAACATATCAAAACTAATAGTTTAGGTACTAAACACAAGTTTACCCCTTTTTTCTTTGAGAGTAATTTTAATCTTGGGTAAGCTACGTATGTAGTACCTAAACTATTAATTTTAGTCCGTTTTAGAACTTAATTTTTCAAAATTTTCAAAACAATACCTAAAGTTTAGTTTTTATTTTATTTTAGTACATGTCGTTAAAAACTTAACGCGTTTAGTACATAAACTATTATTTTTAGCCCGTTTTAGTACCTAAACTTTCATTTTTTTTCTTCTTCAAAACTTAACGTTAAATTTTGAACAGAGTACTAAAATGAAACAAAAACTAAAGTTTTTATCAGTAGAGTACTAAAATGAAACAAAAACTAAATTTTAGGTATGGTTTCGAAAAAATTGAAAGTTTAAGTAATACAATGAACCAAAATTGCTAGTATAGGTACTAAACGCGTAATTTACCCTTTAATCTATATTATTCCTTATTATAGTACGCAAGGTCTTTCGACAACATTATTTTCAGAGGGCTAAAATTTTCAAATGAATTTGTGCTAAGGTTGTATTTTTTTAAAAAATGGTACGAATCAAACGTCTTCGATGGTAAAGGAACCGGGTTGCCAATCTTCTTGCCGGTTCAAGTAGCTAAAAGAAAGTAATATGGCTTTCTGAAAATGGCCACTTCTTTGTGGCTTAGACATGCAATTTCAGAGCTGAGCTTTCATTATAAGATAAAATCTGTGATTACAATCAAATGGGAATTCCCTAAATGAAATTGTCATATAATGCAAAACCTATATATTTAAAACAATAACGAAAACACGAAACATTGTCCCGGTACGTCGACAACCTAAGCCATCATCGTCGAAAGCTTCAACCGGTATGCCGGACCGAACAACAAATCCCATCAACGCCATAGTCTCATTGAGGCTCGGCTAATGATTCTGAAGCCTCGAGCCTTCAGGCCTACTTATGTTTATTATGTGCATTGAAAACCAGACACACCGAGTAACTTCATATCCACCCGAATTCCGAAGGACAAGCCGCTCGAGAAGCGGGTGAAAATGGTGGTACTAAAACGTATTTACATGGAAGAACCATGGAAGTACAAAGGCTATTACCAGGCATGCCATGAGAAAGTTGCAGAATGGCTGTCCACGCCAACATCTAGCACCCTGATCCGATGGGCTAAAACCGATGCTGGTAGATCCTTGGTCATGCCAATCTCTGTTATCTCGAACACCGGTGATGTTTTTCGCCGTTTGACCACATATTTCGCACATTCTGCAGATTAAATTAAACATGAGAAGGTACGTGTAGGTGAATTGACAACATGTTATGCTTCCAAGTTATTTCGTATGCATCGAATGTTCGTTTCCCATACAAGCAAGTCAGATATATATCACACAAATTAAGAAAGGGTTGCTTCTTAAACCTAATTGTGAACTGATAACAGTTGGAGAAAAAGCATAATTAAGCAACAATCACAACACAAATTTCCCCCCTAAGAGAACGAACACTTACCTGTTTCCTTTCAGCTTAAACCATGCCTCGGCACAATGACTATGCGCGATTCCTAGCTCATCTTTGCACCCGCAGCCAAGTTGAATTAGATCCGTGGCAGCTGCAGTATTCGGCATACTATCAGTACATTCGTATGACTGCTCCGAGGTCAAATGGCAAATCCGACAAATTCTTTCCCCATCAGAACTCTCCTTAAACCGTCTTTGGCCACCAACACTTCCGTTTATATCGAGGACGCACGAGTCCTCCTTCCTCATCAGCCTTTCTGCTAACACTTTACCTGAATCAGTTCCAATGTCATTCAATTGTAGAACGCCATTACTTTCACTCACATATGCAGCCTCTTGGGTATTAACCATAATGATAGTCTCAACCGCACATCCGTCAGCTGAATCATCCGAATTCCCACTTCTTCGATCAACTTCATCGACTCGTCTCATCTTGGTTATTACCTCACTCGCTTCAACGAATCCCTCACTTGATACCACTCCATTGTTTACGTTTCGTTCTACTAAACTACTCGATTTACGGGTCCTTTGATCGTTTTTACTCGAATCCGGACCAATTCCTCTCACATAACCCATCTCCTGATGCTTACACAATCCAGAGCCATCAATTTGCAATCCCAAATCAACATTTTCTTCAGAATTTTTTACAGTAACAGTCTCAGATAAAATCTCATTATTCGAATTCTTCGAATTTACATCAATTTGACTCGAATTCTGACTAGTTTCTATCCTATCATCCCTTTCCTCTTGATCCATTAATCTCAGATAACTTGGAAAAATCTACAAAAACGCCTCCAAAATTATCAAAATATTCAAAATACCATAAACAATATTATACACCCAAACCCTGAAATTTAATCCCTTCTCATGCTCATATAAATCCCCGAAAAATCAGCAAATCCATAATCACAAAGATTCTACACTAATTAACAGCGATTAAGAGCTGATTAACTGTTTAATCAAAGCAAATAAAAACCGAACCTTTGTTGACTTGCGAAACAACCCAGAATCAGATCCTTACCTACTCCATTATATCACTTGAACTCCAAGTAAATAATCAAAATTAAATCAAAATGAAAACGTTGACACGAGAAAAAGAAGAAAAATGCTATCTTTCATATGAGAAACTCATACGTTGAAAGATAAATTTCAAAGAAAAAATGGGTTTTATTGACTTGATAGAACAAGGTACATCCTCCATTGAAATACAAAATCAATTGTGAAATATATATATATATATATATATATATATATATATATATATATAGAGAGAGAGAGAGAGAGAGAGAGAGAGTTGAATGAAGGTATGTAGAGGAATGAACTTGAAGAAAATGATATAAAATTGAAAATTAGTTGAGTGAAAAATACGTAAATAAAATAAATAAATAAATAAATAATATTAAAGATAAATTAAATACCGATAATTATATAATAATCTAAAACAAAATGTTATATTTAAACTGTATATTATGTTCATTTAAATTGTATATAATTACATTTAACCTATGTGAGACGGATTATGGATGCTAGTATTTTCATTATATTTTCTCTTTATTTAGTAAAGTTACTTATTATTATCGAATAAAATAAATAAATAAATAGTATTAAAGATAAATTAAATACCGATAATTATATAATAATCTAAAACAACATGTTATATTTAAACTGTATATTATGTTTATTTAATCAATCATGATTTTAAAAAAATTATTATTTTTAACCAACAAATGTTGGTACAAGTAGTTGGGATTCATGAATTTGAGCTTGTAAGGCCAAGTTCGAATCTAATCACCGTCACTCTTAGTGGGCAATATATAAAGTCCTATGTAAATCTCAATTGGATCTTAGGTATACACTGATCCTGGATTAAGGGAGTCACACCTAACCTAAACTTTTAATGTACAATTTTTTTTAACGTCATCCAATTCAATTCCCTTTAATATAAATTAATCAAATTAAATCATTAGACATGTTGATTTTTAAATTAGGATTTGATATTCAAATTATATTTGAATAAAAAATTGTTTTTAAAGTATAAATATTTGGTTATTTATTGGGAGGATACACATCTAATGCACTAAATTTCAATTATTTTTAACATATAATTTATATAATATAATATACAGCTCATACCATTCATTGAAATGAACATACTTAATGTACTTAGGATTTCTTTGACCAATTTTATTTTCTTGACCAAAGCTCTAATTAGCTGGTCGGTCCACTAATGCTAAGTTAATATACAATATATAAACTATAGTTTTATCAATAAATTAATGATTGATGTAGAGATGTTCCTAAAAAAATATAATAAAAGAGTCTTTATTGTATGGTCAATCATTTTAGGCCGTTTTATATAAAAGGTCCCTATACTATGCATTTTCGATAATTTTGGTCGTTCTAATACAATTTGATCACTTTTAGTCTTCATTATTTTATTTTTTATAATAAGTGTTTTTATATGTGATAAAAATATATCCAATTATAAAAAAAAATGTTGTTGGGCTATTATATGTTTAGAAAAATAAATCACCTAGAATTATTTGATAAAACTATTTAAAATATTAATCTGGAAATTGAAAATGCATATTTCAAAAATGAAAAATATCATAAGAGATCGGATTATACATAACTTGGGTAAAATATACAAATGGTCTCCTGATTATAATACATTGTTTTATTGAGTCCCTCCGAAAAATATTTTTTGATCTGTCACTGAGTGAGATGATATGTTAATAACGTTAAAAATAATATTTTTTTATCAAAAAATAAATATAATTTACCTCTTCTTAAAATGTTCAAAACTAAAACGACGTTTGTTGCCGTCGTTTGGTGCTCAAACATTCCAAAATCCACATACATAGATTGGGTCTGTGTTGCATTGGAGACATGAAGTTGGTAGTTTAAGTTAATTGTTCTTCTCTCATTTTATAGTTTGAAAAATAATTTTGATTAACTTTAAGCATGCTATGTATAAGTCAATTAGATAAAGTTTCGATTTACTTTATATATATTTAATTAAGGGTAATGGTCCCCCGACTATAGGGTACTACTTTATTTAAATCTATTGACTATTAAAAGTTACAAAATGGTCACCCGACTGGAATTTTGCTCTATTAAGTCCATCGACTATTAAAAGTTACAAAATGGTCACCTGACTATTCAGTATGTTCCAAAGTCATCCTGTTCCGTTAAAAAATTAGTGGTTGTCTAAGTTGAAAATTAGCATGATAGTCGTTTGAGATTATGAGATCATATTTTATCATATCGCAATCAACAAGTTAACGTTCAGCTCAGAATACCGTCAAAATTTTAACGTAAAAGGACGAGTTTGAAACATAATGAATAGTCAAGTGACCTTTTTTAACTTTTAATAGTCAAGGGACTCAACAAAGTAACACTCTATAGTCGGAGGACCATTTTATAACTTTTAATAGTCAAAAGACTTAATAAAGTAGTAGCCTGTAGTTGAGGGATCATTTGTGTACTTTACCCTTTAATTAAAAAGATTGTTGAAATGAAATTGGGTTGGTTGAAAACGAATACTTTAATATTCAGGGAATATACTTATCTCCAACTAGTTCATTGCAAGGTGAGACCCCCACAAAACCCTACCCATAGCCGTCTTTAATCTTAGGATTCCAAATAAAAAAAAAATCAGATAAAAATTGCAAACTTATTGCAATATTGATGTGTGATAGGCGAGATGTGATTTATGATGATTTAGACAATAGGAATTGATAATTTAAAGGTCATTTATTTTTATCTAAATAAAAAAAAATTATTAATCGATTATCCGATTGAATTAGGATATGTTTTATTCTATCTTTTTATTTTGGTTAAGTACTTTAAAATATAATCGAAAAAATCGATAATTACATAATTATCTCATAATTAGATTGGATGTAAAAGTATGTAGTATACGCGTCGATGTGTGGGTATGTTATCGTTGTGCAATTTGAGACTCATGTCGTTGAAAATTGGGAAGATGAATCACTTTAGTTGAGGTCACAAAATGATTTAAAGGGTAAATTACGAATTTGATACTTAAACAATTTATTCTAGTATGTTTTAGTACCTAAACTTTCAATTTTTGAAAGTCACACCCAACATTTAGTTTTTATTACATTTTAGTATTATACTGTTAAAAACTTACCACATTTAATACCTAAACTATCAACTTTATCCGTTTTAGTATCTAAATTTTTATTTTTTTTTCAAAAACTTAGCGTTAAATTTTAAATGAGATACTAAAATGAAATAAAAACTAAACTTTAAGTATGATTTTGAAAACAAATTAAAAGTTTAGATACCGCCAACAACGCTTGCAATACAAACAACAAATTGAGAAAAAAACCAGGAACTTTTATCAACCATTATTAGAGAATCGTCAATATATATATTTACCCTTTCAATTAAATAAATGAATATAAACAAAAATCATATAACCATATCACCCATACATATCATTTTTAATTTATTTATAGAAATGACACACTCAAAAAAGTATACATCAACATTTGAAATAACATATTTTCAAGAGAACATCTCATGTCAAATGCGTCATGTAACTGTGCTTTTATCTATGTAATACATAAGTGGGATATCATCTGATCAATTTTAGGCACCAATTGGTATCAAAAAAATTCATTAGGCACCAAATCATTTTTTTAGATATAATTTAGGCACTAAAAGGTATATTAAACCTATATAAAATTCATATAATTCTTTAAAACTTATTCCCACTGTTTCCCTTTCTTCAATTTTATTTGGTAACCCATAACACTAATTAAGATGCATGAAAGATGGGGTGCACGGACAAGTAGGCGGCTTATGCAAATGGACTATATACGGATGTATCGGTCAAATCTTGGGGTTTCATCCCATTTTTTGTAAACCTTCTGGCTATGGGCCATGCATGCATCTGTAATTGTCGTAGGAAATGGCTGACAGCATCGTAAACGGGGACGAGATAGGATATCTACATATAATTATACAAGTTTTAGAGAGAATGGAATTATAACACCTTCCCATGCCATTCACTATATTCACAATCCAACAAAGCCCACCCCCCACTTGTCGACCTCAACTATGCAAAAGAGAATCTACTATAGTACCTTAGGCTGAGTTCCTGTGGTCGGCTCTGCTTGGGACATCGACTTTCCTTGACAAAAATGTGGGACGGGGCTGGCATCGAAGATGAACATCAGTTCTATGATATCGCTTAACTGAAACTTGGATATCAATATCACAGACAAGCAGCAACGGTAGAAAAGAGAGTAATGATATAACTTGGAACAAACAATAATAATAATCGTCTGCAATTTGAAGTCAGAAACCAGAACAACTTAAAAACAAAGAATAAACGAAGTAACCGAAGAGCACCCCCTTTTTTCCCCTTTTTCTTCGGGATATTCCTCCTGGCCACAAATACACTTCTAAACTTTCCTCCACTCGTACCTTTCCGGTCCATCCGTCTTATCTTTTTAGTAACTTAACATGTACATGATTAAAAGGCATTCTGACAAAATCTAAAAATATAGAATACAGGAGCAAGAGTGGTGTGATTAACGTAAACGGATAAAAAGAAGGCAGCCACCACACTGCCAGAGGCTATAAGTGTAGTGGGAAAACAGAAAATGATGCTGGATAGGCCTTAAATCTACCAGTGATCATCCAAAGATCGTATTTCTTTTGTGTCGTGCATCAACTAGAGACGTCAAATCTGAAATCACTTTAAAAAGTTATGTCCCAGTTGGATGCAAGAAATGCTGTAGCCCTATTTGCCGTTTCACATGATCCGGAATCAACTTATTAATAAGCTCCGGTGAAGCCCCAGATAACTGAAACCAGAAGAATCAAAATGAATAAAAACGTATCGACTATAACAAGAAACAAAATTCTAGCTAGAAATAATGTCATTCAATGAAGACGTATCTTTGTATATGGAAAGGCACATGGAAATGAATTTTAATTAAGAAACATACTTCCTGTTTGAAGTTGAAAAGTGGCGGTAAAGGCCGCCCATTTGGCAGGCGAGCATTTGGTTCTCGAAGCTCATCAAAGAAGGGATGTGCACATGCTTCCAACTGTCATAGCACATGAGATTGGGGTTGGTTATCACTAAAAACATAGATATTTAAATTGGTAATTGAAGAATTTTGCATATTCCAAGATCACCAAACAAAAGATGGAGACATTAGTAACTCACAGCTGTATAGCGAAGACTTGGCGAGTATTGCAGCAATCGTGAAGCAAGATCAATTGCTTCAGGAGGCATCCTTTTATGGAAAACCTAAAAACATATAAGGGTAATCTACCATTACATTTATGTTGCAAAGATGCAGTGCATTACTCAAAATCAATCAAATATTTCAGCTCTTGGAATAAAAGGGAAACCTTATGCCATGGATGTGCTTTAATCTGAGGAAACCTAAAATCTGTGTAATTGGGATTCATGCAGCGAATTTCTTCCCTAGTAGGTGTACCTAGGACCTGTGGGAAAAGATGTAAGAAGCAGATTCCTGATGATACAAAGTAATGGTGTAACTCCATGCATCTTAAGCAAATCATACCTTGATAATCTCGACAAGCTGGTCCACAGCATTCTCCCCGGGAAACAATGGCTACACAAGCAGAAGAAAAATAGATACCAATGAGCAGAGTTGTTAGAAGTTTTCAGAAAAATAAATAGAAGTGCAAAACCAAACCTGGCCCAGCAGAAGTTCAGCAAGAACACAACCGGCTGACCAAATATCGATTGAGGTTGTGTATTCAGTGGCACCAAAGATAAGTTCTGGAGCCCGATAGAAACGCGAACATATGTATGAAATGTTAGCTTCACCTTTGACCTGGTTACACACAAAATGCTAGTATGAAGTATATAAGATAAAAAAAACAAAAAAAGGAGATAAGAAAAAGATGATCTTAGACACACTAAGATCTAATTCAATCATTTTCGTCTTCAACCCTTCACCCCCAACAAAGAGGCCAACAAGAAAGCTAAATGGAAGAGGCAACACTAACAAGGGAGAAGTGCTTATTTCAACCAATCTGGAAAAAGATCCCTTGTCAGTTAAAATTTTAGTTTACATGAAGTACTTATGATTATATAAAAGGAGAGACAAAGGTTACACAAGTTTCAGCAGTTTGCACGATCAACAGTGAAGTGAAGGGTCATTAAATTGTGTTATCACATATCACAAAGGTGGTTTTGCAAAGTACTATGTTGCACCTCTGATGAATAGCAGAAGATAAAAGATTGTATGCCAATCCATTTAGAATTTACAATCAAAACCACATTTAAATAATAGAAAGCTAAAATCCTGTTTTAGTTTTAGAAACTTATGGACCAAATAATGATGTTTCACTTGGAGAAATAATAATTTGTTGACTAAAATCTCAGCAAGTAATCTGAAAGGAAGCACATGGAAAATTAATATAAGGGAATCAGCTTACAAGCACTTTTGCACTTCCAAAATCACAAATTTTAGCTTGGTGAGTCAGAGGATCAACCTGTACAAAGTCAACAGTAACCTAAGAAACATTTTCAAGCCATTCTACAAAAAGTCATCCATAAGAAAAGCATACCAAAAGGTTTTGAGGCTTCAAATCCCTATGGCAAACTCCAATGACGCTATGGAGGTATGCAAGTCCCCTGAATATCTGTAGAACCTCATCCAATTAGCATAAAGAACATTGCACAAAAATTAAAGCTCGGAAAAGGGTACCACGCAGACCTGATACGAATAAAGTTTCACATAGATAAGTGGCATTCTTTGATTTGCACTGCTGTAATGTTTCAAAACCCTATACATACTCTCTGGTACATATTCCATAACCAAGTTAAGGAAAAGCTCATTTTTGGTAGTCGTGGAAAAGAAACAATGCTTCAAAGAAATGACATTCGGGTGATTCAGCACACGCATCAATTGCAGTTCACGGTTCTTATATCTTCTGTCTTGCAAAACCTTCTTTATAGCCACAGTTTCTCCAGTTTCCAAGCATTTTGCCTGAAAGAAGAGATCAAATCAGTATGCAGAATGTGAAGAAGGTAATATTGACCACAATCTAACCATGTCTTGGTACCTGAAAAACAATCCCGAACGATCCTGTTCCCACAACACGCTCTGCCATGTAACTGATAGTCTACAATAATAAAACATTAAAAAAATTAAATCCCAAGTAAAAAACTGGTTATCATTCTTAATGTTGATCTAAACCACATGTTAATGGTAACTAATTCAGAACTTGAACAGCGAAACCCAAGAAGAAGCATACCTGTTTAGGTTCTCCATTTTTGCCACCAATCGTTGTGGAAATTATGTGACCTGTGACCGGCACGTTGCTGTCGACAACAGGGGCTGACATTTCCTGGTAAATTAAGAAAATCATGGTGTAAGAAACGAGACAAGTCTTCGACGGAACACCAAAAAAAGGAGATCAAACAAAATAATAATAATAATAATAATAAAAGCTCAAAGGTGAAAAATCCAGGAGAAATCATAGATCGAAACAAATGCAAAGGAAACTTTCTCCATCTAGGGTTCCCCCACCAGCTCAACCAACAAGATCGCAATAAAATAAAGTACCAAAAAAAACGTAAATCCACAAATCATGAACAAAATTTTCACCAAAATCAAACCAAAACAATGAACAGAAGACTAAATTCCAAGTTCCGATGTCATAAAAATTCAAAAAATAAAGAAAAAGAAACGAAGTTTACCTTATCGTCAGCCATGCCGATGAAAAAAGGTTCTAGCTAGAGAAAAGAGTTGTCGTAGATCATAGTGCGGCCATAGAAGGGGAAAAAATACAAAAATTAAAGCAAAAATGATTAAAATGAGGAACAAGAACTGAAAAACAAAATATGAGCAGGGAGAGACTGTACACTAAAAGCGCATGTGATTCACTCTTGCTTTTTTTTATTTTTTTATTTTGTTGTTGAATTTCGAAAATACCCTTCAATCACTTAATTACACGAACATAATTTAAAATTTTCTATATAAGATATTAATTATCTATAATCTCCCCCGAATTGTAATTATTAAAATTCGAGTTATTCGAGTTGTATTTTACAACTCGATTTGAATTTTAAATTTATTTAGTCGAGTCGAGTTTATAAAATTGTAACTCGAAGTCAATTAAAGTCGAATTTTTTCGAGTCGAATTAAGTTAAAAAAATTGATTTTTTGAGTCGAGTCGAGTTTTGTTCACATGTAACTACAATGATAGTTCCTGAATTTTCAGAGAACTTATGTTTGACCAGAGATGGATTGAAGGAGTGTTGGTGCGGTCGTAATCTCTAGAAATTTTAAATTTTTTTATATTTTAATTTTTTATATTTTTTATTGATTATTTAATTTTGTACCTCTAAAATTTTATAACTTCGCACTCTTTGCAATTTTTAATATAACTTTTAAAATTCACATCCCTAAAGTGAATTCATGCATCCATCCCTGTATTTGACTACCAAATTTTATAATTAATGTTAAAAAGTTTGATGGCCAAAATACAAATGCCCTAAAATTTTATGGACTACCACTGCAGTTTGCCCATGTATTTATTTATTGTGTTCGTCTCTGTTTTTATTAAGTGGGATTAGTGGCGTTAATCCTATCCCTTTTCATTGACAATTACTTATTTATTTGTTTTTTTCATTGTTGAAGATAAGCTTGTTATATGATATTGACTATAAAGTATTGTTTTGTTAAGTATTTTGACTACTAAAGTTATAAATTGGTCACTTTACTATTCATTATGTTCCAAAGTCATCATTTTTTTGTTAAAAATTTGACGGTATTTTGAGCTGAACGTTAACTTGTTGATTGTGATATAATAAAATTTAATCACAGAATCTCATACAACTATTATATCTCATTCATCATGTTAATGTCCATGTAACACCCTAAACCTGATTGGGTCTAATTTTCTTATATTGAGCTACCGAGGCAACTCTTGAATTTCAAAATATGTTCTTTTTCTTTTAAAACATACTAAATAGTAACATACAACATATAAAATAGTTATTAAAACGTTTTACAAACCGGAGCACTATGACATATAATTTAAAATCAAAATAATACATCATGATGTTTTTAACTCAAGTACATACATAAGGTTCTATAAATACACATGTCCACTAAAACTACAATATAATACTCTGAAGAAGATACTGGAAGTCCTGCTGTGACGGTGCTAAAAAAACTGCTCCAACTACTAACCTGCCAACGAAAAACATCCGAAGACTTAGCTTGCAAAGCCCAGCAGTATAATCGCTAATCTAGAGTGTTATTAAGAGTTCATAAACATAAGCGTGCTAAAGATGTGATACTAAGCGGTAGGTACATGCATGATCTATATCAAGTGCTACCCATTTAAGGCTTTACTATTTTATCACTGAAGTAGGAGTCTCACGTTTCCCTTAATCTACTGCTAAGGGCCTCGTCATGAGTACACCACAAAGAGTCTCTAACTCTAATAATTGTGACTACTACATATTATCTAAATGTGAGATTAACTCTGCTATGTATCACATAAACATATACACATAGTTGAAGTAGTCATCATGGTACGGCTGAAGGCTACATCTTGGAGCTCACATGCCTCTCTACCCTACCTATATTACTATACAACACACAAGCTGAGGAAGGCATCATGGTACGGCTGAGGGGCTATATCTCGGAGCTCAAACATCTCTCTAGCCTAACTACAAATACTCGTGTGTAAACTGGGGTGAGATCTGGAACAGCATGGGAAAAGTACACCCTCCAACTTACTCCATTGAGTCTTGGGGCATCTACGCCCAGTTGGCAAAAGAAGTGTTGTAGTAGTGACTGGTATATACCTGAACATACTAACAAGCAAGACCATCACCCTACTGCTAAAGTAACTCGGGTGTTCTAGCTGTTCCTCGAGTGTCACACAAAGGCTAATTTTATGATACTTATTTCTTTATTTATTTAGGATATTTTTGTTCTCGTTTACTACTCTTATTTATTAGGCATGCTTTATTATAGTTATTTGATACTTAAGGGCATTTTAAACATTCTCTTCCTCTAGCGAAATCTCTATACATTCTCGGGTTTTTAAGAAGATTTTTCGAGGTTACTATTCATTGATGGTACTATCCGTTAGCCTGGCACTTGACTCGGGTTCAACTCCAAGTAGTGACACTCTGATCGCTCTTATTGAATTTCCTTTCAATAACCCTTGAGTTGAAAAGACAGCTTATACCTCACGGGTTCAATGACGTTCTCAAAGCCCAAGCTCTCCACTATTTCTAAATCTAACAGCTTATTGTATCACTGGTCGATACATCCCCTGTAACTATCCTCATTCTCCACTATTCTAATACGTGTTTGACTGAAGATACCTCGATGTATACTGCTAAGAATGATTACCTCTGTTGTAATCTCACTTCTACAATTGTTTCTAGGAAAGTTAAGGCCTTCAGGTCCCTCACATACTTATTCTTACTATTTCGGATCAGTCTTATCTCTTATGGACCTTATCTAAGTTAAAATTGACCATTCAAAGTGAATAATATCGATATTCTACTTGTAGTATCGATACAATAGGGTTAAGTATCAATAACCCTATGAGTATCAAAACAAAAAATATATTATGCCTTTGAAAATTAGGCTCGGTCTCGAGACTGAAGGGGCAGTATCGATATTATCACAGCTGTATCGATACTCCTAGCCTGAAATCCTTAAAATTTGCCCAAATTCATCCAGTATCGATATTGTTCATCCCAGTACTGATAATCGAATCCCAAATTTGTTATTTAGGCTCGGGAAATCACCCAAAAGTCATCCTAAAGGTCATAGTTTGGTTTATAAACATGTGCTAAAGCTTTAGGGGGTTAACTACGGTCTTAAAGTAGCATAAAACGTCTTTTTAACTTCTAAAATATAATTTGATCATGATATAAAAAACAAACCCTAAAATGCTTAATTACTCAAATATTAGCTAAACTTCATACTTATCATAATCTTAACACTTCAAAGGATTAGAAATACACTACTTTGGTGCTAGGATCCCGAAATAAAGCTCTCTTTGCTTAGCCGAACTGCTTTCATTGGTGATTTTGGTGAAAACTCACTTTTTTTCTTTAACTATAAAAACCCAAGGTTTAATTTACTAAAACAACGTTGCTGGAAGATATTTTGAATGATCAAAGTAAGTTTAACTTCTAAAGAACAATTTGATTATAATATCAAAAATAAACCCTAAAATGCTTAATTACTCAAATCTTAGCCAAATTTCATATTTATTAAAATAGTAACACTTCAAAGGATTAGAAACACATTACCTTGGTGTTAGGATCCCAAAATGAAACTCTCTTTGCTTAGCCGAACTCCTTTCCTTGGTGGTTTTGGTGAAAACTCCCACTTTCCTCTTTAACTATAAAAACCCAATGTTTGATTTACTGAAACGAAGTTGCTAGAAGATATTTTCCTACAAAAAAAATTATATTTTGAATGATCAAAGTGAGTTTAAAAATGACAGTGTACGTTCATTGTACAACAGAAACGTTTCAATGGCGACTTGTAGCTTTGTTTCAATGAAGAGAAGTCATGATAATGCCAAAACCTAGCTATGTGGAAACGTTTTAACTAACCATGCTCGTGTCCCCATTGCTTTCTACTCGGAAAAATAAAATGGAAATTAAAAGCTTATGACAAGCTTGCTTCTAACAATATTTTTGTGTTCACAGATCGGAATGAATGGAGGGATGGTCGGAGGTGTCGTTTTCATAAAAATTTTAAATTGTTAAACATATTAGATTTTTTTGTTATCAATCTATTTTCGTTCCTTAAAATTATATAAATTCATATGTTCTTAAAAGTTTAGAAGATTACATTCTATCATAAAATTATATTCATGAGTACTATGATTAAATTTGTGTATATAACTTTATGATAAATAGAAATTATTTTCATGGGATTGGTCTTTAAATTATTAAATATTAATTATATAATTTTATTTAATTCATATCAAGCATAAAAAAAGTTTTAATGACGGATATGGTTCACAATTCATTTCGATTTTTAGTCGCAATCAATTGCATATCATCACACTGTCTTTTACCTTTTAATTTTGATAGATTTTTCATGGATGTATGTTTGGAACTAAGATTAATGAAATGTCGAGTTCTAAATCTTTGTTTTATGATATTTTTTTCTTTTAAAAAAATCTAATTTATTCATTTTGTAAAGGATAAATTACAAATTTGGTAATTGAACTTTACTCTCTTTTATTTCACTCATTATATTTTAAAGCTTTCGATTTCATCACTGAACTTAATATATTGGGTCTTTGTGTCACTCGGCCGTTAAATAGTTAAAAGCGTTAAAATGATCAGTTATATAGATGCAAACGACATTGTTTTGGTGATTTTTTTTAAACGGCGTCATTTTTAACGCCGTTATATATTTAATGACGGAGTGACCAAAATAGGAGAGAGTAAAGTTCAATGACAAAAAAAAGTCCACTATATTAAAGTGAGAGAATCGAAAACTTTTAAAGCTCAATGAGCAAAATAAGAGGGAGAATAAAATTTAGTGATAAAATTTGTTATTTATCCTTCTATAAAATAGGATTATACAAAAAAAGAATTAAAAAATAAAACTAAATAATGAAACATATAGGATACATCATTGATGATGAATGCTTTTTTATTAAGCTAACGCGATGAGAAAATAGTTATTATATGTTCTAAATACTCTTAATCATATGACAATGAACGCTTAATAACTCAACTGTAATTACTGGAGCTTAAATCCGTGATTTCTAGGAACAACAACGATTCTTTTAACCACTAAGATAAGTAAATTAGTGCTCAATAATGGATTTTTTATTAATATGGTGTAAGCATAAGCCAATATCTGTTCAAATATAACTCTCAACCATTTAATATTGAACGCTCATACCCCTAAAATCTATTGTATTCGAACTCAAATCTTCAATGAATAACAAAAATTCTTTTATCACGGAGGTTACTTGGTACGTGCTCGATGATGAATGTTAAGTTGAAGGATATCCTAACTATTCGGTCAGAGTCTTCAACAATCATAACATTGTTGTTTTCCTGAATGTTTATGTCTCGTTTTAATATCTAGATTTTATCTCTTGACCTTTAAGAGGGTCATGGAAACTCATCAAAGAGAATTTACGCGATACTTAAACCGTTCGATTTTGATTCCCCAAATGATGCAAATGCCAATCAATTTTCCGTGGCTCTCCTCCATGCCAACCTGGATGAACCACGTGCTAATAAGTAAAATGATCTAAGGATAGGAATGTTCAAAACTAGGTATCTATATTTTCGGGTACTTGAAGTACAGGATATCTTATTCTTTGGGTAGTATATTTGTCGGCCTATGACTCGATCTATTAAGTTTGGGTAACCAGTAGTCATGTACCTGTAAAATTTGAGTACCCGCATTTTCGGATCATTAGTATTTGGTTCATATTTTTTTAATTTATATATTTTTTTAATATATATATATATATATTAAAGTTTATTTCCAAAATAAAAAAATATTAAAAATATTAATATCGATCATGATTTTATTTCGAATCTCATATTGAAAAATTAATAAAAACTTTGTTGAAAATTTTAGAACTTAAAATTAGTATATACAAACCTAAGAAAAATTTAAGAATTTAAATTTAATTTTAAGGTAAAAATATTAAGGAACCTAAATATATATATATTAAAATTATTGGGTTAGGTTGGGTACCCGATTATAAAAACATTCTAGCCTAGATCTGACCCAACTACTCGGAAAAAATCACGGGCCAAGTATTTTTTTTTTGAGAATTACCTATTTTTTTTAAATTCGAGTCGTTGGGTCGATAGACTGAATCAATCGAATAAGGTATTTTTGAACACCCTTACTAAGGATTGTGTTCTCCCCTTCCGAGGCTCTTATGGCGACCTTTTAAGGGTTAAAATGCAAAATTTTGAGGATAAAACGGCACATAGATATCTTGAGAAAATATTATATTTTCGATTATTAAGAGTTTCAATTAAAAAATTCGAGAAATTTCTGAATAAGTACCGCTAACACTAACATAATAATAGAATGAGTAAATTACATTATTCCTTACTGATTTTTACTTTTTTAATTTATTCATTATACTTTCAAATTTACTCGACTTTCAAATTGTTCCTGTGTTGACCACTCTCAATTATTTTATTATTATTTTCGTATGATATGATATTTTTATTATTATTCAATATAAAATAATTTAAAATATAAAATAAAAACAAAAGGTGGTCGGACGTCACCGTCGGTTACCGTAGATGGTGGTCGTTCAATTCCAAATTTTAGGGTCGCTTCTCCTCGACACTCTGAGTTCGAATCTGACATACATTTTGTCTGAACTTGAACTTGCTCCGAAGTCCATGAATTAGAGATCGAAAGTGAGGAAGCCGAAATGTCTCAATCAAGATTCACGGGTTCTAAGATATTTTCCGGTGAAACAACCACCATATTTGGACTTAGGAGAATGAGACAAACCGACCCATGAAATTTGGGACTGAACACCACCATCTACGGCGGTCAAAGGCTATTGAAGACGGCGTTCGACCACATTTTGTTTTTATTTTATATTATTTTTATATTAAATAATAAAAAGTGTCACATCATATAAAAATAATAATAAAATAATTTAAAGTGATCAAAACATGAATAATTTAACAGTTTAGTGAGTAAATAAAAAAAAAACTAAAAGTACAATGAGTAAGTAAAGGTAAGTGAGAAACGTTGTATTTTACCCTAATAGAATATAACAATAAGTTGAGAATTGATTTTATTAGAACTCAAGATGATATATATGGAATGACTGAGAATACCTATCAAGACGAAAAAAACTAATACGAAGGTCTAAATTAGGGGTAGATTAACGAGAAACTTAAATAAACTGATTTTTGAGTGTTTACCTCGATGGATAAACGTTTAAATTATGATTTTCAACCTTGTTTTCCATGAAGTGAACTCACGATGATGCCAAAACCTAGCCTTCGAAGAAGCTCTATGTTTTTAGTGAGACAAAACATAGTTCAATTGGTCCGAGTACTCCGTAAAGAACCAAACGTATATGAACGCGTGGGGCAAAAACATGTGATTCACAATTCACACACATATCTAAACCCAACAGCAATTCCCGAGTTGATTCAATTTCAGCTCCCCTTTGCCTATAAATATATCGGATACACTTCAAGTTCCGTAGTTCAGAGTTCAGACTCACAAGCAAACCTTACTTCTTTTCATCTTAATCATCTTAGCTTTGAATTATAATTGATTTCCCCCCATCAATGGCGGCAACTAGGACTAGTGAGATGTTGGGTTCGAAATCTTTTATTTCTAATCTTTCCCATTCAACCTCGTTGTTGAAGTCACGGGAGAGAAGGGCGGTGCAAGTGAGGAAGGTGGTGACGGCTGTTGCCGTGGTTCCCATGACGACGAGGCTCATCGAGCTTGATTCCGTCAGGGCTATCCCCGAAACCCCGGTGCAGGTCACCGTGTCGGGTCGGGTAACGGTGGGGTACGATGCGAAGGAGAAGATGAAGGAGTTGATGTTTCAATGGTGGGATTCTTCTAAAACCACCATTGATGCTGAGAGAGGTGTTTCTCTTCAGCTTGTTAGCACTGATGTTGACCCAAGTAAGCATTCATTCTTGTAAAGTAAGCGTATATGTATCTGATATGTAGTGGCTAATGTGTTTGGATTAATGAACGAAGGGACGGGCAAGGCGAAGGTGAGCAAGGAAGCCATAATAGAGTGGTCCAGAGATCTGAACATAAGTGCCGACAAATTCATCACTTACAACGTTGAATTTGTGGTGGACGTAAACTTTGGGGTTCCCGGAGCTATTCTCGTCACCAACACTGATCAAAAGGAGTTGTTTTTAAAGAGCGTCACCATTGAAGATTCTCTTCATTTCGACTGTCAATCTTGGATTCAACCACAGAAGATTAAGCTTCACTCGGAGAAAAGAATCTTCTTTTCTAATCAGGTTAAACACTTCACCAATTTTCCTCACAAGAAGGTGAAATAACGGTGAAATGGCATGAACTGAGTTGCCTATTTTTTTGCAGGCATTTTTACCAAGCAAAACGCCAGTGGGAATGAGAGAGTTGAGGAAGAAAGAGTTAAGGGAACTGAGGGGCAATGGAGAGGGCGTCAGGGTTTCATCGGATCGAGTTTATGATTACGATGTTTACAATGATTTGGGACACCCTGATAAAGGAACCAAATTCGCAAGGCCTGTTTTAGGAGGAGAACGACGACCTTATCCCAGACGATGCCGTACCGGACGTCCTCCCACTGAGTCAGGTGGGTTTAACTTCGTTATGCTTTCGATAAATATTCATAGATTATAATTTATATATGAAGCAATTTAAGGTGGTTTCCATGAAAATGCACAGATCCCAAGTCGGAAGCTCGGGCAGACGAGGCCACGCCGATGTATGTACCGAGAGACGAAGCATTTGGAGACGTGAAAAGACAGACAGTGGATGCTGGAAGCTGGAAAGCGATGATGAACAATCTTTTTCCTTTACTTAAACATTCAACAGAAGGCGATGAGGCAGTTATCTCCTTCGCTGATATCAATAATCTCTACAAAGAACGTCGAAACCATTCGCATCTTAACAAGATGATCAGAGAATCGACGACCGACGCTTTCAAATTCGACCCTCCGAACATCGTCTCCAGTAAGAGCTTTTCTTCAACTGATCAGGAATATATCTTTAATCATTGAAAATAAATTAATAGATTTGGGTATGGGAATATTTGCAGGAGATGCTTCATGTTGTTTACTAGACGATGAATTTGGTCGGCTAACGCTCGCCGGAATGAATCCCTTAAGCATCGAGAGGCTCCAGGTCTTCCCGCCGGTAAGCAAACTGGAAGCCTCCGTTTATGGTCCACAAGAGTCTGCTTTGAGAGAACAACACATCATCTCTCATCTGGATGGCATGTCAGTAGAACAGGTAAAATAAAAGAAAATGACGAACTTGTTTGATTTTGCAACTTGCCATTGTTACTACGTACGAACACTTGTCAGTTTCACGAAATTAATTGGGTAAAACACACTTTAGGTCATCCAATTTTTTGAACTTTATGCAGGCAATTGAAACAAAAAAACTGTATATGTTGGACTATCACGATGCCTACCTTCCATTTCTCAACAGCATCAATGCTCACCCTGATCGAAAAGCCTACGCAACTCGAACGATTTTCTTCTTGACTCAGCTGGGAACATTGAAGCCGATAGCTATCGAGCTAAGCCTACCGCCGATGAACCCTTACACTCCTACGAAACAAGTGATTACGCCTCCGGTTGATGCCACTTCTTTCTGGCAATGGCAATTAGCTAAAGCCCATGTTTGCTCCAACGATTCCGGAGCTCATGAATTGATTCAGCATTGGTATGTAAATTCTCATCCCCATAAACATCATCAGTTTAGTAATTCCGATTTAGGGTTTTGATGAATGAGAAGTTTTTAATTATGTACAGGTTGAGGACTCATGCGTGCATGGAACCGTTTATCATAGCAGCACGACGAAACTTAAGCGTAATGCATCCGATCCACAAGCTTCTTCATCCTCACATGCGATACACTTTGGACATTAACGCCAGAGCTCGTGAGCTTCTCATCAGCGCCAACGGATTGATCGAGTCTCTCTTCTCCACTAAAGAATGTTCAATGGAGCTTACATCTTTTGCTTACAAAAACTGGCGCTTCGACATGGAAGCCCTCCCTGCAGACCTCATCCGAAGGTATATAGGGTTCTTCATTGTTCGACTCGATTTTGACCTGATATTGTTTAAACGTTTGGATCTCAAGACCAATTTCAAATTTTACTTTTGTAATGCAGAGGGATTGCAGAACCAGACCCGACCGAGCCGCATGGCATAAAATTACTAATTCAAGACTATCCATATGCCAACGATGGGTTACTTATATGGTCAGCCATTGAGAGACTGGTTAAGGACTACGTGAACTATTACTACCCAGATTCAATTAGTATTCGATCCGATCCAGAACTCAATGCATGGTACTATGAGTCCATCAACGTAGGCCATGTCGATCTCCGCCATGAGATCTGGTGGCCAAAGCTTTCGACCCCGGAGGATCTCGTCTCCATCCTAACCACCCTCATCTGGATTTCATCAGCAGAACATGCCGCTCTTAACTTCGGGCAGTACCATTACGGTGGATACGTTCCCGTACGTCCACCGTACATGCGACGACTAGTCCCGAACCAGGACGATCCGGATTACTTGAGTTTCGTATCGGACCCGGAAGGGTATTTCTTATCATCTTTGCCAAGTTTAAAAGATATGACGGTGTTAATCTCGGTACTCGAGATCTTATCCACACATTCAGCCGATGAAGAGTACTTGGGGAACAGAAAAGATCTTTCGACATGGAAAGGGAACCCACAGATCACAGAAGCATTTTACAAGTTCTCAATGGAGATGAGGGCAATTGAGAAGGAGATTGAAAAAAGAAACAGAGACCCAAAGCTAAGAAATCGATGTGGGGCTGGGGTTTCACCCTATCAGCTATTGGTGCCGTCTTCGGAACCTGGAGTTTCTTGCAGAGGAGTGCCTAATAGCATTTCAATATGAAATTTGAAGAGATTGAACGACGAATATTCATCTTTTGAAATTCTTTGTAGGGAAGTAGAAGGATTAAAGGCCATCAATTTCTTGGAGCCAACCAATACAAAAGCTACAAGGTTGAAGAATAGTTTAGTATTTGAGTTGCGCTTATCCCTGTATTTGTATCATATTCTTAAATACAACTTTATTCATAATGGAACATGTTAAAAGATTGTGATTTACAGTTTATCTTGGTATCAGTTTGGTGAAGAGTTACTAAAAAAAGTTAGGATAAAGTACATAAATAGTCCCTGAACTAAAAGGAAAGTAACGTTCCAAGTCAGATAAAACTAACGGGAGCTAACATCAGTGACCATACTGAAAACGAACTAAAAAGTCCGATGACTGTATTACAAGTTTTAAAAGCTGGGTGACCAAAATGCAAGCACCCTAAAAGTACGGGGACTATTTATGGACTTTACCCAAAAAGTCATAGCAAATATACAGATTATCGAGTTTTCATGGGTGATAATGCTTTTAATTTTTTTTATAAAATATTTTCCTTATTACATAATTAGTCCATGTTTTACATACATCATCCCACTCAATTATTGTCAACCTTTTCATACTCAATTTGTATACCCCTATTAGACCAACTCACCAAAGAGACTAAATTTAGAATACAAATCGTTTGCCCCCTTTAGTGTGTCTCTTTGTGCCCCACCAGTGATGCTTATACATGTGTACGTTTACACTCCTGCAATCTTTAAAAAAGAATCAATTTCCTTCTTTGTTTCTTTCCTCTTTCATTTCATTCTCCTCTTTGTGCACTGCTGGGCTGCATTCTTTTGCCATCTTCTCCAGCTGAATTTTTCAGTCTCAACACCCAAGAGTACGTTTCTAGTGACATATATAGACAAAGAGGAAAGAATGCCGGAAAAATAAAAGAGAACATAATATTTTTGCCCCACCAGCATCTTCTGCAGTTGCACTAACTCTTCCTACACTAAAATACTCTGATTTTTTAAAAACAAACCCTTTGTTTTCTTCTTCATCCTCTCAGTTTACAAAAGTAATAATATACCCCAAAAATAATTTATCTCAGTTTTCTTCAGTTTTCTTCTTCTTCAGCATGTTTAAGTGATTAATGGGGGGGCATAAGGAGGGACGCACAAAAGGGGCAGAGGATTTTTGTTCATAAATTTATCCCTGTACAAATAAAAATTATTGTAAATATTAACTGAAAATAAAGTTATTAAAAATCACAATAAATTGATAATATTAAAATATAATTATTTAAAAAAGTTTCCTAATACAATTAAAGGCCATTAAAATTTTAGAATGTGCATTTTTTTAGATGTTAAGATTATTGATAGTAATTAATTTATTGAAGGTAATATAATCTTAGATTGACCGTTAATTGTTGGTTTTTTTTTTGGTTTTTTTTGTTTCTCCTATAATATGGATTATGTTTTTTTTTTTTCTCGACAAGTCCTTTATTTTTGTATGAAAATGGCGGATAATTTTATTTGTTTTTGTTGCACGCCTTTTCTTTTTATTTTCATTGTTAGATTCGACGTTGTGTCTCCATATCGAGATGACATTCATCTGGTTATCTTACTGATCTATACATGTTTTGGACTCTTGAGGTAGATATTGATAGACATTTATAATCATTAAAAAGATGTCATAATTGAATCGTGGTAATTCCAGATTATCAACGAGACATCATTATCATATATATATATATATGTGTGTTAGTATTGACGGATTTTGTTCTCTACCATCGAAAATGATATCTGTTTGTATCTATAACTTATACGACCGATCAGTGACTAAACGAGATAATCACCGAGAAAGTATTGAAATCCCATGCTTATTTTAGGAAGATATCGTAAATGGGAGATGATACATTTTCTTACTCCTATCTTACACTATTTTTTACAGTATACTTCAAGTGTAATGGCAGAATGCACTTACAGGTAATTCACGGCTACAAGCTTGCGGAAATATACGAGGGGGACGATTCTTGTTGCTTAAGACTATCTGCAACATGAGCAATGACTCCGACGCCAGCGTTATGAAACCATTCGTTTTTCACCTGAAACATTATGGGGGATGTGATCGTGTGAGAAACTGAAAGGAAAAAAAAACAAATTTTCAAATCCGAAGTTTTAAGATCGAAGCGATACGTGGATGTTATTGTGCGCGAAGAAGGGCCAAAGCGCCGAATGAAAACTGACATCGACCTTTTTCCATCCCAGTTTCTGCAAACCTTGTATCATTTCCTCTGTTAATGGAAGGGGTGTGTTAATGTCTGGGGAGAATCATAATCATATTGATGCCATGCCAACAGATCTTAGTCGAAATGATTACCTTCCATGAGTTCATGATATTCCACCGTATTTTTTGAGTTTGGTGCATTCTGTGCCACAGCCTTTGCCTTGGCAGCTTCCTGAGGGAAATGAGGGCCGTCGGAAGAAACCGGTGGACAGTACTCCACATCAACAACGTGTTTGTAACCATCCAAAGATCGCAGTGGGGGCTGCCAAATCCATAAAAATGTCAGGCGTATGCATGAAACTGGGATGACTCATTTTCAGTACTTCTATTTGCCATTAAGTCGAACTTAAAGTGTTGATTGTCCTACAGGAAAGTTTACCTTGACAAGTTCTTTCTCCCTCCTAATGGAGGATGTACGCCAACCGACCATATCTATTCGAAGTCAAAGAAAGTTCCAATCGGGTGGCAGAAAACGAGTAGAAAAGCAACATATGTAGTTAAATATGGTAAAAGAAGAATGATTCAGAAGGATACGATCATAAGATACATTTGCATACAAAGTGCGAGACCTAAATGCACCAAGGGCAGATCTGCAAAATAGAAATTATAATCATTAATTCAGTCATAGAAACAGCCTAGACTTGGCTCCATGGTACCCCCACGAGTAGTGGTGGTGGTGGTGGTAGTCGGAAAAAAAAAAGCATCTTTAGTCAATGTAAAAGCTCACTTTACGTACAAAAATTTACCATCTTCACAATCAGATGCCATCTTCAAAAGCAGTGGTGGTCTGCTGGGTTTGCCATCAGTGAGAAATAGTTGCTTACCGGTTCTACCAACAACAAATGGAGCAATTGGTGCCGCAATTTTCTCTAAAAAAGAAACTCCTAAGAGAAATGGAAGCTGAGGCACTACAAAGAGTAATATCAGAAACTGCAAAAATACATATGAAAGATGATTGTAGTACAACCGAAAACTATATAAACATTTTAATCATCGAAAAACAGGATTTGAGATGCCAGAAGCATGGCAATAACATTGGAATTATTGGACACGGACATCATTTTGTAATCTAAAACATTATGAAATAAACTTAATAGCCAACAACATTGAGAATCGACCTGCTTTCTCCCTAGGACCCCAAGATGTGGTGTTGCCAAGGTAATAAAACTGACTGGCTCCAGTCCAGCAATCGTTCCTCTTCTTGAAGGGACAGAAGTTTGTAGATATCCATCTGAAGAATTGGTATCAGACTGGGTAGAACTTGAGTCACTTTCTGAGTAAAGCATAGAGATTGCATATCTTGCAAACAAGCCCCCAAGAGAATGGGCTAAAAACGAAATCTTTTTCAGGCTTTCCGTCGTCTTTACGACTTGCAGAACCTATTAAACCGAAACAAGGTGAAGGGGGTAATCAACAGTGCAGCAAACTGAAAGCCCCTTGGAAAAACTCAAAAGTTAGAGACAGAATTAACTACTCACTTCATCCGCTAAGCGCTTCCCAGCTCCATCAACCCCAGCAAAGGTTTTAGTATGGGTGTTAACTGAACTCGCTGCAAGAAATTATTAAACAAATAAGCCATAACTGATTATATTTGTACAAACAAATAACATTAGATTGAAAATATGAACAAATACCATAAATAAGAAAGTTTCTTCCAAGCCGCCTTTTCAACTCTGCCTCTGCATATGTCCAATCACTAGGGCTGCATTATGGAAATGTTTCAACCAATTCGACATCAAAATCGAATTAAAAACCATAACAAAACACATTTTAGTATCAGTTGTTGATTCAACACAGACAACACTATTACGCATACCTAGCTAAGATGCCATGAACAAGAACAAGCAGGTGATCGGGCTCATTTATTCCATTTCCAACTAGGTTGGATGCGGGAAAGTCACCTTTTGTAGTGGTACTCATTGCTTGAGCTCTAAGGCCTTGATGTTTCCAGCTACTATTTGTTCCTTTCAAAAGTTTATAACAAAATCAAGAGTCAGCTAAACTGAAAAGATAACATCAAGAACTCAAAATGGCCATTAATGCAATTTTCGCACATCCATCACCATTTAACATATTTCAATTCCCTAAATTCCTAATTAAATCTTCATTCCTCAAAAGAAGAAGAATAAATGAATGAAATTAGCTTCACTCATCTTTTACTTCGAGTTACAAGTATAATCACAATTTCAATTAAAAACAATATAACATTCCATAACTATAACCATAATCAACCATTTATAAAATTCGATCGGACAAATAACAGGAGTAAATTCAAATCTAGATCAAAATAAATTCGAACTTAGCTCACTAATAATAATACTTGAATAAATCCGAATCAAATTTACTAACGAAATCAAATCCCAATTTTCTAGGAGTAGAATCAATCAAGACTTCAAAAGAAAAGCAAATTCAAATAAAAGGACATTACCGGAAGAGAAATTCAAATTGTTGGAAGAAGAACAGGAGCACGAGGACGAAGATGAGATCGAACCGAACGGACCTGCCAAACAGTTTCTGGAGCTATAATTATTGCTGAAAATGGGAGAAAACCCACATCCTGCTTGAATCAAAGAAAAATTTGCCATGTGGTTTTTCTATTTATGTATTCTCTTAAAACACTCATCCAATACAAGCGCGAACAAGAAAGGACCCAAAAACCAAACAACTTCCCCTCGATTTGCGGTATCTGATGCTATGTCACCATCTGCACCGGAACATTCATTCGCATACGTATACTATACGTGATGATGGTGATGACGATGATATGTTAGCAGCTTATCACCATCGATGGATTTTCCATTCTATTTTTCGAAAGCAAAGTTTTTTATTTTTCAAAAAAAGTGGTGGAAAGTTGGGGGAATAATATATATGGGATTATTTAGTTATGTATATGTAATAAATATCTGGAGGATTTTTAGCCGAAACGGCGCCGTTTTTCATTTGTGTCGGAACTTGAGTGGCTGTGAGGGAGGGAGAGCGATTGGATTACCTAATTTTAGGTCACCGACCAATGGACATTTAGTGTCGTGTTGTTTTCTTCTGTCCAATGATATTGTGAGCAGTCCATGCTTGTTTCCAATCTTGGTTGATTTGCGTTTTTTTTTCTATGTTTGTTGATCGACGATTGATTGTTTTTAAAACCTATATAAAGGTCGAATTTTGTTGATTTGCGATTCTTTTAACCATATATTTAACGAAACCTGATTTGTAAATATTATTTTCTATTATTTATTATCCAAATTTAATATCACGTAATAAAAATCAATAACAATAATTTTAAAATTTAATTACGACTCAAATTAAGTAAAAATAGTTGAAATAAATAAATTAAAGTTTACAAATATTCAAGTTAAATGTAATATACTTCAACATCGTTAACTAGAATAAACAATAGTTTGGGAATTGAATTAAACAGATAGCGACCTCCAAGAAGACACGCTTCAATACTTCACCAAACAAATCCCTTATCTCCGGGTCACCAAAAAGACTCATTGCACGCTTCAATACTTCACTTGAAACAGATAACGACCTTCTGCCTGCCGTATGAAACTTAATTGGAGGAGGCTTGGGAATTGAATCAAACATTTTCAGATATATATATAACTAAACTAAACAGTAACTAATGCAGCAAACCAATCATGTTATCAATTGAGCAGTCCTCCTTAATGTTCTTCAGCAAATGATCTAATTCATAAGATTTTGATGATTAAATGATATGAAACTACGAAGGCATAAGAAGAGATAGTTTACATTGATAGTATATCCTATGTACTGAACATGTTCTTGGTAATACATCATAGCAGCAACATGGCCCAAGACCCTAATTCCTACATTCAAGAACAAAACTAGTATAGAGAGCAAAACAACCTACCAGGTTTTGCAATAACCTTCTCTTGTGGCTTCAACATTATCTGGTAAATCAAAGAATTAGAAAATCGCAACAAAAAAAAAAAGAGTTTACCATCGTAGGCACAGCCACCGCATTACAAGCGTAAGAACTAAAAAATCCATTGCTGTTGTTTAAACCTAATATTGTTGCAAACAGAGGTTCCAATACTGTTGCAGACAAAAACAAGCAATACAATTGAGGAGAAAACAACACAGCAGCAAACAAGCAATACAAGTAATGGCTCCACGCCATAAAAAAGAGAGCAGAAAACAGCACAGCAGAAAACAAGAACCGAGGACTAAAAGAGTAATTGTCTTTGAGTCTTAAGGATTGACTGGCGGCGCGATGACGGTGAGCAGCGCGTCGATTTGATGAAGATGCACTGCTGATGGAGGAACTTTAGAGAATAGAAGATGTTAAAAATAAATTAGGGTTCAGTGGATGAAAAAGATTGAGGATATATGATCCTATTGTGGCGTTTTCTTAAAAAACGCCACTAAGGTACATGACTATTAGGGTAAAGGATTGAACAATTTGTGGTTAAACATACACCAAGTACGTGTATTTCGTGTCATTTTTCCAACAAATGCCATCAAAGTACGCGTGTATATTGCGGCGTTTTCTTAAAAAAGTCACTAAAGTATTTGTTTGGGGATTGTTTTTGATATTATACTTTATTTTAATTATGAGGTAAAGTATAGAAATGATATTCGACTATAGGTCGTTGTTTTATTAAATCTTTCGACTGTTAAAAGTTATAAAATAATTTTTCCGATCTTATGATGTTGTTTTGTTGAGTCCCTCGACTATTAGAAGGTACAAAGTGGTCACTTGACTATTTATATATTTCAAACTTATCTTTTTTGTTAAAAAATTTAACGGACGTATAAGTTTAACGTTAAAAAATCATTTTTTATTAATTTAGGGTAAGTAAAAGATAATACATATTTTAAGATAACTCTGAACCATTTGACATTATACGCTCATAGCTCTGGCATTCCTGGTGCTTAAACCCGAGACCTCAACGAATAACAACAATTTTCTTTCCATCGAGGTCGCTTGGTTCGTGCAAAAAAAATCATATTTTAATTATGTCTACTGTCATCATCGTTGCTTTCAAGCATTAGCTCGATGACATAATGTTTCAAGCTCTTGCTCGACAGAATAATATAAATGGAGAGTCGATCTACAAAAAGACAAGTCAAACGAATTATTGAGATGTATGCATCACTCAAACAACTTTTTACTTAATTATTAATATTATAATATTGTTCCTTTAACCAAGCCAACAATACACACATACACACACGTGTGTGTGTATATAGTTAAGGAGTTTGAACAAACTCTTTTTACTATTTAATATATTTAATTTACAATAGCAAAAGTAAACTCCTTTTAATATTTAAATTTAAATATATATTATTTTAATTTGAAACATACAAAAGTATATAATTATATTTTAATATTCAAAATTAAAAATATAACAAATATTATTTTAAATTGATTTATTAAAAAAATAATTATCGTACTAAAATTTAAATTAAAATTATATTTTAATTTATAATGGTTAAAAAGACTATAAATTTAATATAAATATTAAGTTTATCAATTAAATTCACCTTTTATCCCACAGGTTCATCTGATTGGTCACTATATCAATAGCGTTCAGCGTGGCTAAGGCTGCCCCTAAACTGTACCCCACGACGGTTATGCTTATCTCCTCGCCCTTGTACTTGTCGACCAGCTCCCTTACATAGTTTTAGCAGCGGTAAGTAGATGCCCTTTAAATTAGACGTTAACATTATCACTGAGATATGATAGTCGTTTGAGATTCTGGGATCATATTTCATCATATGACAATCAGAAGGTTAACGTTTAACTCATAATACCGTCAATTTTTTTAATGTAAAAGGACGAGTTTGAAACATAATGAATAGTCAGGTGACCATTTTATAACTTCTAATAGTCTAGGGACTCAACAAAATAATATTCTATAATTGAATGAGCATTTTGTAACTTTTAATAGTCAATAGACTTAATAAAGAAATATCATATAGTTGGAATACCATTTATGTACTTAACTTTACAGGTAGTAGTTTAACAAATATTATAGGATAAATTATGTCAATAGTTTTATTTGTTTTCGGTCTGATCGACTTTGGTCACAAGTTTTTAATTAAGTGTGCTTGATCCCATACGTTATCGGTCTATTCGATTTAAGTCCTTCGGTTGTTAATTTACGTTAATCTATTAACAAAGTCTGAGTTAGCAATTTAAAAAATGAAAAAAAATAAACAAATCCACGTGTAAATTCAAAACAACACATGTCTTCTTTTTCTTCTTTTCTTCTTCTTATTCCTAAGTTAGCAATTAAAAATAAAAAAAAATCAAACAAATCACGTGTAAATTCAAAATTAACCCATGTCGTCTTCTTCTTCTTCTAATGTGGGTTGTTTTGATTTTACACGTGGTCTTTTTTGATTTTTTATGATTTAATTGTCAACTCATACTTCAATTAACGAATTAACAGAAATTAACAACCGAGAAACTTAAATCAGATGAATCAATAGTGTAAGGGATTAAGTGTGCTTAATTAGAAAAAAGGTGACCAAAGTTGATCATACCGAAAACAAAGTAAATTATTAGTATAGTTTACCCAATATTATATGTACCGGTTCAGGTAGTTAAAAAATTTAGGCATGATTTGGCTTTTTTTAGAAAGGTTTTTGTAACATTAGTAACGAAATTAACTACTCCTTTTCCCATTTTGTAGGTTTTCCCATTTGAAGCACTGCATTTCGTCTTCTACGTACATTACTGCAATTTGTGGCACAACACCCATCGAAAATGGCGAAGGAGTTCTTTCACATTGCAATGTATCCATGGTTGGCCCTTGGTCACATTACTCCCTTCGTTCACATGGCTAACAAGCTAGCAGAACGAGGCCACAGAGTTTCCTTCTTCTTGCCCGCCGGAACATTGAGCAAGGTCGAGCCTTTCAATCTCCACCCAGATCTCATAGCCTTTGTTCCGGTCATCATCCCGCACGTCCAGGGTTTGCCTCTCGGCGCCGAAACAACGAACGATGTTCCTTTCCCTTTGCATCCACTCCTTATCACGGCCATGGATCTCACAGAACCGGATATCGAAGCTTCTTTACGTGATCTCAAACCCCATTTCGTTTTCTTCGATTTCGCTTGCTGGTTGCCGGCATTGACTCGCAGGCTAGGGATCAAGTCCCTGGTTTATTGCATCATTAGCTCCGCCACAATTGGCTACCTTCTTACCCCTGCAAGAAAGATTGTCGAGAGAGGCTTAACCGGATCCGATCTCCTCGAGCCACCCGAAGGTTTCCCTCCTTCACGTATCAAACTATACGCTCATGAAGCTCGAGCTTTAGCTGTTGTCACGACGATGGCTTACGGGAGTGGTTTTACATTCGTCGGGCGTCAGCAGAGATCCTTAAGTGAATGTGATGTTCTCGGTTTCAAGACATGCAAGGAGATCGAAGGGCCTTATTGTGAATACCTCGGAAACCAATTCGGAAAGCATGTGCTTTACGCCGGTCCGGTCGTGCCGGAACCGCCGAAGATGGCGTTGGAAGAACGATGGGAAATGCTGCTAAACAAGTTCGAAGCCAAGACCGTGATATTTTGTGCCTTCGGGAGTGAATGTGTTCTAAAAATGGACCAGTTCCAAGAACTGGTTTTAGGCCTGGAGCTATCAGGTTTACCATTTCTGGTTGCCCTGAAACCACCGATGGGGGCCGAAACCATCGAGTCAGCCTTGCCGGAAGGATTCAAAGAAAGGGTAAAAGGAAGAGGGTTCGTCCATGGAGGCTGGGTGCCACAACAGCTGATCTTAAACCACCCTTCCGTGGGGTGTTTCGTGACCCACTGTGGATCTGGCTCTTTAGCAGAGGCTATGGTGAAAGACTGTCAACTGGTGCTGCTACCCCATGTCGGGGATCAGATAATCAACGCGAGATTGATGGCCGGAGACTTGAGAATCGGAGTAGAGGTGGAGAAAGGTGAAGAAGATGGACTGTTTACAAAAGACAGTGTTTGCAAGGCAGTGAAAGCTGTAATGGACAATGAGAGTGAGTTGGCGAAAGAGACCAGGGCTAACCATGCTAAATGGAAAGAGTTCCTTTTAGCACCGGGGCTTGAAAGGTCTTACATGAATGATTTTGTCATGCAATTGCACACCTTGGTGTAAGCTTCCTTTTATTTTCATGAAATAACAAAAATAAACTATTCCTTCCATAAAGTCTATCTTGAATCTGTATTTTTTAAGGTACATTATGAGTTTAGTACCTAAACTATCAGTTTTGACGTTTTAGTACTTAAACTTATATTTTTTTCAAGCATATCTAACGTTTAGTTTTTGTTTCATTTTAGTAACATCTTAAAAACTGAACGTTAATTAGGTACTTAAATAGACCAAAACTGATTGTTTAGGTACTAAACGGGTTAAGTTTTTAACAACGGGTACTAAAATGAAACAAAACTAAACGTTAAATATGATTTAAAAAACAAAAGTTTAAGTACTAAAATGTGACAAAACTGGTAATTTAGATTCTAAACACGGAATTTACTAAATTTTAAAATTAATTTTATAAAATTAGATTGACTTGAAATCGTCATGTCCGACTATTTTTACTCACCCTAAATATATACAACTACAACCGTAATATCTTAAAAGTTTCAATATATCTAATTTTGATCGATATTATATTTAATTATTATTGGATATTGATTATCAAAATTATTATTATATTAAAAATAATAATAGGATTAAATTGAGTCAAGATAATAATCTTTTGGAGAAAAGGATGTTGAATTTAATTTTAGACTAAATCATAAAATTTGAAAGTTATTTACATATAACGGCGTTTCTAGAAAAAAAAAGGCTACAAAATTGTAAAATTCCTAGCATTTTTGAAAAAACGCTGTTACAAACACTTGCTTTAGTGGTTTTTTGGGAAAACGCCGCAATATACGCGTATTTTGGTGGTATTTGTTCAAATGCCACAAATTGTTAATCATTTACCCAAATAGTAATGTACCTTAATGGCGTTTTTTAGGAAAACGCCGCAATAGAATCATATATCCTCAATCTTTCTCATCCTCTAAACCCTAATTTCTTTTTAGTATCTTCTATTCTCTAAAGTTCCTCCATCGGCAGTGCATCTTCATCAAATTGACGCACTGCTCACCGTCGTCGCGTCGTCAGTGACCACTGTTGCGCTGCCAGTCAATCCTTAAGACTAAAAAACAATTACTCTTTTAGTCCTCGGTTATTGTTTTCTGCTCCATTTTTTATGGCGTGGAGCCATTACTTGTATGGCTTGTTTGCTGCTGTGTTGTTTTCTCCTCAATTGTATTGCTTGTTTTTGTCTGCAACAGTATTGGAACCTCTGTTTGCAACAATATTATGTTTAGACTACTCTTCCATACTCAGCACCATTACTTGTTTTTCTATAAAATTTAATATAATTTTACACTGTCCGATTGAGGATTCACATTAAGCAAAGGATTTTATTGGCCAAGATTAGAATTAGTTAATCTCAACGATCCTTGTTTATTGATATTTGACATTCATCTTGTAGTTTTGTATTACCGAGCTTTCCAAAGCTCACTCTGTTACTTGTTATTTAAGGTTAAAAAGAATCAGTCCTACTCAGTTATCGACATCAGTAATTGAGTTCCTCCGGTGTTGCTTGGGAGTACGATACATATGTAATTAGGGGGAATGTATGACGTATTTGTTTTCATATTGAGTTTGAAACTTTTATGATGGGAGGTATGAAGAAATTATATTTTACGATTTGAATGATTTCTGCATTTTTATTTTTATTTATAAAGTTTTGCGTTTTTATATGATTTAGTAAAAAATTTAAATTTTTTTGTTATTTTATTGTGGGTCGCTCTAGTGGCCCCAATGTGACACCTCAGATCGGATCGGATCTCCCGTATAGGTCTGGGAGTGTTACAAACTTTTATTAAGAACTATTCATTATCTAAATTATAAATACTTAAATTGTTTTTATTGTATAATTATTTTAAATAAATTTGATTAATTTTAAATATATATATATATTATTTGAAGAAGAAAAATCATTTAAAAGAACATAATGAAATGTGTGCTCAAAAATTGGTATCATTAATTTATAAATCAATCAAACAACTTATCAATAAATAATACTTCTAAAATTTAAACTTATAGAAAATACTTTATTTTTAATATGCCATATAATATATTTTGAGAAAATATATACAACTGACAAAACTAATTTATTTTTAAGTGTAAACTATATATTTAGTACCTTAACTATTAGTTTTGGTTCGTTTTAGTGTCTATACTTTTAATTTTTTCAAAATCATATATAACATTTTGTTTTTGTTTCATTTTAGTACATTGCTATTAAAATTTTAATGTGTTCAGTACCTAAACTATCAATTTTAGTTCATTTTAGTACCTAAACTTTTAATTTTATTCAAAATTTAACGTTAAATTTTGAACTAAAATAAAACAAAAACTCAACTTTAGGTATAGTTTTGAAAAAAGTTGAAAGTTTAGGTACTACAACAAATCAAAACTAATAGTTTAGGTACTAAACACGTAGTTTTCCCTTATTTTTAAAGTATATTTATAATGTATGGTAAATAAATTTAAAATCAAAACGTAAAACAACTTGCATTTATATTTAATTTATCATACTTGGATGTAAACAAGAGGGAAAAAAGTCAAAGAAGTGTGTTTAATTTTGATTAAGTATTAGTGTTTTCAAATCGAAAATATAAAAGGATTTGTGTTTTAGCCTAATCCAAACCACAATTTCAATCGGCTAAATACATGTTGACGTTCATTTGTGTGTGCATTCAAGGGCATAAAAGAATCTCAAAAGATGAAGCATCTTGAAGAATTCATTCATCCGTGTAATTAAGACGAGCAACATCCGGCTCCTTTCGCTGTCGATGCGTCCTCTTTAGATCCGACATTGATCGTTCGACCTTTGGGTAAAGCTGTCGGATCATCTCCGATATCGAGAGCTTTCCTGCTCACGACGCGGTAGATCTGAGCCAACACTTCAGTGAAAGCGTTCTCGACATTCAGAGCCTCGAGTGCAGATGTTTCCATGAAAAAGGTGTTCTCTCTTTCCGCAAAAGCTTTGGCGGCGTCGACTTCAACGGCTTGCAAATGACGCAGGTCAGCCTTGTTCCCGACCAGCATAATCACGATGTTCGGATCGGTGTGGTCTCGGAGTTCCTTGAGCCACCTCTGTACATTCTCGAACGTAACGCGGCGGGTAACATCGTAAACCAGTAGAGCTCCGACCGCGCCTCGATAATATGCACTTGTAATTGCGCGATATCTTTGGAAAAACAGGGTAAGCATAGGGATGTTAGAACAACATTTTGAAAATTTCATGTTCTTGAAACAAATTCAGTAGAAAAATGACATTTCCAAGATAAAATGTACCCTAAATTGTCAAACCTAAAAGTTCCAATTTTTTTCTTCAAATTGCACCCTAATGTAGATATAATTACGACTTATATCCTTCTATTATGCTGAAATTTTAGATTTAATTTCTCTATTTTAATTTGACATAATTCGACCCCTATGTAATGTTACTCAGGAATCAGGGTATCCCTTGCCATAAGTTTCATGCATACGATCACTGAAATCAAAATCTACACAATCGATAATGAATCCCTTACCATAAAACGTAGATCTAGGCATGTAAACAAATACGAACCGTTCGTAATTTGTTCGGCATGAAGTTCTTTTACGTTCATTTATTTAATAAAAGAACGAACATGAATAAGATTTTACGTTCGTTTAATTAAATGAACGAATATGAACAAAGGGTTATTTCGTGAATGTTCGATATTTCGTTCGTTTATGTTCGTTCTTTTATATTCAGTCTAATCTTCATACCCGTTTGAAATAGTAAGACCTAATACATTAAACTCGTTAATATTTTAAAATACAATTAATTTTAAACCCAATTAAAAAAAATACTCAAATTAATTAAAGAAAACAAAAGTTCTAAAATTATTTGGAAAGAAAAAAAACTCTTCTCAAATATGAAGTCAGTTAATTTTATGTTTGTTCGTTTATGTTTATTTGTGTTCGTTTATCATTTTAAGAAACGAACATGAATAAACTAAACTTTTTAATGAATGATCACGAACAAGAAATTTTATTCGTTTAATTATTCATGTTCATTCCTTTGTTAGATTAAAGTTAAACAAACGAACATGAATATACTATCGTTCGTGTTCATTCGGTTGGTTTACATGCTACCTAGATCAAAACAACAAACAAAATGATTTACCTTTCTTGTCCAGCAGTGTCCCAAATCTGAGCTTTAACGACCTTATCATCGACATGAATGCTCCGAGTTGCGAACTCGACGCCGATAGTCGACTTCGATTCAGCGCTGAACTCGTTCTTCGTAAATCTAGACAAAAGGTTGGATTTCCCAACGCCGGAATCACCGATCAAGACGACCTTAAACAAGTAATCATAATCATCGTCGGCCCTATAAGCTCCCATTTCTCTTCCTAAACGTTGCTTTTCTTCTCTTCTCGTCGATTGGCGTCGACAAAATTTTCAGAAAACGAAGAACAAAAAAGAAACCCAATGTTGTTTGGGTATCTTGATTGCTATGGTTAACATTTTCTCATCCTTTCCTTTGGTTGATTTTGATTCTGGGTTCGGGGTGAAGAAGAAACAAAAATAGGTAAAACGTTTAGCAAATGACTATGATTAACCAAAACTAACCTCTTTTCACGATATTCTGGAAACAACTTTGTGTGGGCAACAATTACTTTGATTTAACCCTCTAATATATTGAATGGTTCTTGTGTATTGAGATATAGTAAATTATAAATTAGGATGATTATAATTAGTGGTACAAATACTTTTGTCAAGATAAAATTTAGTTTATATTTCATTTAGGTTCGTACACATTATCATTTAATAATATCTTAAAATATTGCTGACCAAAACGATTACTTTAACATAGTTCAATGACCATTTATGTAGTTGGCCCTAAATAATTAAGAGAGAATAAGTTGGTATTGCGTCTTCCATAAGAATGCGAAAGTCAAAGATTGACATCAGATAAACGATGGCGAGGACGCCATTGGAATGCTCCTTGTACAACAAGCAACGATTTGCAGTATATCTTCAACTCCTGGCATTACCATTTCAAATTCAAGCCAAATTTGAAGCTCTGAAGCCCAGATTGAGAAGAGGACGATGCAATGACTTTGGAGGAAGACGATATGGTTTTGGTCCCTGCTGGGTTGCTCAGCATGCTTGGTTACCGTCTGTTCCTCTTGTACAGGTACTTGAATTGTCCTCACACCACCGTCATTGGGTTCCAAAACCACGATAAAGAAGCTTGGGTTGAAGGAGTTTTGCAGGTAAAGCCTCCTAAAGTTTAGTTTTTGTTCCATTTTAATACATTTATTCAAAATTTACTGATAAGTTTTGAAAAAAATCAAAAGTTTATGTACTAAAATGGACCAAAACTTATAATTTAAATACTAAACGCGTTAAGTTTTTAACAGTGGGTACTAAAATGAAACAAAAACTAAATGTTATGTATGATTTCAAAATAAATTAAAAATTTAAATACTAAACAAACCAAAACGGACACTTTAGTTACTAAATACGTAGTTTACCCTTTATTTATTTTTCCTAATAGAGTATCCAATGGATCACATTAGGTCTTCGATTATATCTAGAATTGAATTAGGTCGGAGTTTTAAATAGAGATAAATTTGGTGTCTATCAACTATTAGTCGTTTTAGTGTGATGAGTTAATAGATTTATTACGTAAAAGTTAAAGGTTAAAATCATGATGTTGTGTACATAAAAAACTAAATCGGGAGGGTTCGCTCCGTAATATGGCTTATGCAATATTTAATCTAAATAAGTTGATCAATGTATTAAATATCGGTGATGTTTAAAAAATTGGCGTACCTGTTTTTAAGGCTTTTAAATATAAAATGACCAATGACTTGATAAATTTGATCAAATTGATCCTTTTACTTTTTTATAACAACTAATTAAGCTTAAGGGCTAATCTAAAAAAAAGGTTCGAGGATCTTTCGACCAAACTTATCAAGCTTGGGAGTTAAATTAACTCTGAAAAAGTTCAAAGATCAATTTAATAAAACTTATCAAATTCACCGATTAATTTGACAAAAAGGGTAGGGACCAATTTGAACAAACTTGTCAAGTTTAAAAGTCATATTGTTTAAGCTTTTTTGAGAAAAGTTTTAAGTATTTTTTTTGTTTAAACATATGATGACGTTTTAAAAAGCGCCTCATTTTCTTTTCGAATTAACAAAAAAAAAAGTTGGCATCTAGACTGATCGAAAGTAGATTTTGAGAAGTAGAGGACTAACAATTATTAAACTACAGTAGAGAGATCAAATTCACTAAAAGAGCATAGTACAGGGACCATTTACAGAATTCGACTTTTTTTTAGTTTGCAGGCTGATATAAAAGACGTCAGCAACGCTTTAACAGTCATTGGGTCAAACACCTCGGCTGCAACTTTTCTATGCTCAGTTTGCCTAACTCTCTGGTCGGAGCCTGTCTCGGAAATTCCTCGAACAACATCTTCCGAATCACCCTAATCTATGGCGATACGAGGCAATCCACAATGAGGATCAAATTCATCTGCCTCCTAACCTGCTTCTTCCTTGCATTTTGTTGCTCCGTTCAATCGGCAAGGAACTTCCCTCATGCAAATTACCAAATAACCACGCCGAACTGTGAGGTATCGGTGGAAGCCGTGAAATTAGCAGTTATCGGAGGAGGTGATTGTTGGTCACTTGGGCTCCGATCACTTTATTTTGCTCTTGTTTTTCTTCTCTGGTTCTTTGGGCCAATCCCGATGTTTGTTTCTTGGATAATAATGGTGTCCATCCTCTATTATCTCGACACCAACACCAAGCCATTGCATCCCCAATTATTTTTAGTTTTATGAATTTAGTCCCTAATCTTGCCTAATCAGAATCCATTTATTACAATTGTTAGTAAATTACGGTTAAATTTGAATACATAACATTTTAATATTCAGCATCTGGATTTTAAAATGAAATTTCTATTTATAATAAATATTCAAAATTTACAAAAGTCAAATAAAAGTGTTATTTATTGAAGCAATCAACAACTAGTTTAGTGAGATGTGATGCTAAATTCTTTAAGAAAAGACTAAAATTTCAAATCATAATATTACAAATACAGAAAAACTGGTTGGAAAATACACTCCCTTGGATTAATAAACTAATAGGTAAAAATAAATTAAAAATATTATAAAATGAATTTTAGTTTTTTTAAAAGGAATCGGGCTTTAATTTTCAATTTAGGGACTAAATTAAAATCTGTAAAACGTACAAGGATCGAAAGCATAAATAAACGTCAAAAATAATAAAGTTGAAGCTCAGGGAAAAGGAAATTGTTAATTAATAAAGTTTGATTTTAATTTTAATACATCCCTTTTGAAATATCCCACCGCTAACACATTGTTTTAACATCTGACACCCAAAATTGAGAATATACACCTTAATGATTTCGTCCAAAATGGAGGTATTTTGAAATACCTCATATTAGAGGGTCAAAGAAAGAGTTAAGAAAGCAAAGTACGGAAGCTCGAACCCTGACGAGGCAAATTTAGATTGCAAATCTTGAACCACCAAGCCATACGAGCAACCGTGGGCTGTTTCTTTAATAATGGCCTAATATTTCAAATGGAATGATCAGTTTATTTAATAATCTTAGCCCTGATAACCCCACGAGCAAGGCTATGAACCAAGTTATATATGGTTGGTGGTCATCGACGGATGTGGCCCTCTAATTCTGGAAGCCAAACCCTACCGTCTGGCGTCTGCCCTGTATGCATCCATCCGACCACATCAAAAATGTTACTCCCACAACTTTTATCGAGAAACTTGTTTATTCGTACAAGAAGCAATGAAACCTTCCCACTGATTTCTCATAGGGAGCCAAAGTCTGTAGAAAAGATGTTAATGCAGATACCGGCCATGAATGCGAATATCAGAATCAAACAACTGCTCTAAACTGATCCGAAGTTTGCATCCTGAGATAGTTTCTTACTTGCCGATAAATCGAGAACATCTCGAGATATGAACATATACCAGTTGGGTTGATCAGTCAACTTCATTTCACCACTGAAATAAAACCCTAATGTGAAAGTCATGCAGCATGTATGGACATTTAACAAACTTGCAAGAACTGATAAAACAATGAACTAAAAACCTCAATAATAGAAGGATTTTACTATCAACACTTAAACAGTCGGAAGAGATTCGTTCACGAGTTCATAACTAAACCATTAGATGTAAGTACAATGCATAAAAGACCGGCAATCAGCAAGATTTGTATACCAAATCCGAAACTTTCGCAATGAAAATTTGTCCCAACGCAGCATTGCAGCGACATTACCAAGATGAAAGAATCATTATTTAGGCCAACATCATGAAAACTCATTCAGGATCCAGTCGCGGTAGTCCATGAAGTCTCTTATCATTCTTCGACGACGTTTACCAATTCATACCCGATGAGGGATAGATTGTTATCTTCTTTGACAACAAAGTTAGCCGGATCAGTGACCTCGATACGTCCCCATCTGTCGACAGCCAACCTCATGGAACCCTTAAACATATCGATCTTTGCATTACGAAGAATTACAGTAGTACCAGGCTTCATCAACTCAACTGCAGAATGATTCAAGCATGATTATCATCAAACTGAAAGGACAGTTCAAATCTCTCTCTCTCAATAATCTCTGTAAGCAAAACAAAATCGAAAACCCGATTCGAAACGTTGTCAATGAGTGTCGGCTTTAACATATAGAATGATTCATTTCATGTAATCAAAACCACTCATCACAACACTTAAAAGAAAGATCCTAGAGTATATCAAAATCATACACAAGACTAAACAAAAACAAAGCTAGCGTAAAATCCATCAAAAAAGAAAACCAAAGGGAAACATCAAAGCTTTTGGTATCAATGACAAGAACAAGATCCACCCTTTTTTAGTCGAATTAAGATCAGATGGGTAACGGATACGAATTCCATAAGAAAAATCAAAAAGGGTATTCAGAAATGGACCTTGATCGTTACGAGCAGTGAAGAGGATAGTCTCGTCTCCAACAAGGCACTCGGCGATTCGGTTCTGTCGGAGATGTGGAGAAGCGGCTCGACGCTTTTGAAGGACGGTGTTAGAAGACAAAACCTTGGCGATTAAGGTATAGCCATTGGTCCCTGGCTTCAACTGGTCCACCTTCACAAAAACCGGCTTTTTCTTCTCTGTCGATTTGTTCTGTTGCTGATGCTTTTGTTGTCCTGTCGTCGCCATTGATTTCGATGGTGTAAGCTCTTTTTTTCTGAGATATCTGTCTTTTCTTTTTCTCTCGATTTGTTAGACATCAATTGTTATAATTTGGGTTAATTTCGGTAGACGTCCCCATACTATAGACCAAATTTTAAATTGGTCTCAAAGTTTTAAAAATGCTTTAATTAATTTCTCAAAGTATCAATATGATCATTTGAGCATAGATTGGTGACCTATAATGTAGTTTTCCCTAAATTTTAAGAATGGCGTCATAATTTTGAATAAATGAAGCAAATGATAACATTGACAGTATCGCAAATGATGCATATTAATCAAACATTTGGTTTTTCTCACATTAATATCGTAGTTTCTTCTGACATTATTGTTAACAATGAATACTTGGCTTTGATTGAGATTCATCCGCCTTCCACACAGAGTTTGGCTCCGGTAACCAACCAATATCCCGGTGAGTCCTCCGGTCCCCTGACCTACGAAGTTCATCACTTTCAGTGCTATCGGCGATGAAGGCGGACCTCCGGGGAATACAGCTGAATTTAAATCTACTTTCGTTGGCTTCTCCAGTTGAGTCAGCTCTGAACTAAACCTTGTGCTGATCAGCGTCGAGAAGGCTCCTGATTTCCGCGACAATGTCACCGGCCTGTCCCATTCGGACCGACGAACCTTAGCGAAGGCGACCATGGAGAACCTGAGACTGAGGAAGAGAACTTTCCTCATCCCGACAACCTTTACCTCAAACCAAGACATGGTTACGATCGCAGCAGTATCACCAAAGTGGCTTCCATTGTATTGTATAGGCGCGGTGTATACATGTGAGAATATGCTCCACTTGACAGGTTCGAAGTACCGACGTTCGGGCTCGTCGATAGGTTCATAACCGTAATAGTCCGACAGCCAGAGGATTGTAGGAAGAGTTGAGAGATGCTGGAGATGGATTGTTAAATGGTCACTCTTCTTGCCTTCCAAGTATAAGCGTAGTCCCGTCACAGGTCGATTTCCAGTATCAACCTGCAAACAGATATAAAAATTAAGCAGCAAGCAATCATAAAGAACTAAAATGTTAAAACGTGTGGCGCAAGTAATAACAAGTGGTGCAATAAGATACCCGCGTGGTATTGACATAAAGCTTAGGCCCCATTAATGTGAACTGAAGCGACGGGGATTCTTGTTTCCTTAGCTTGAGACTGAGAGGCAGATCGCCGTATATGGGAGCCCATTGTCGAGGTAATTGAAACTCGAGAAATACATGGAGTTCCTCTATCGGTGGTTGATCTGCAAGATATCAGTATATCGACATTAATGTTAGATGCCAGTGCTCACATATTCCTTCACGATAATCTTTCAAACGCACATGCATCCACTCACGTCGTAGGTATAAGTTCACCGCATGGCTTAAAAATCCATTGCCCCGAGCACCACTCAGTAGAGAAGTAATAGGCACAAAGGACATCGATATAACATTGGGCGACTGTGATATAGTCGAAAGCCACCGGCTATGGCTTTGACCGAAATCAACACCTCCCCTTCGAACATAAACGTTCACAATATCCTGCAAAGTTAAACGAGAGGGTCACCATTACTGAATGCAGGTTGCTTCTCAATCTCTGCGGTTCCGAATTAGAAGCTAAAATAGACACCGAGAAACATACATTATTCTTCGAGCAAGTAACAACAGGTGGCCTAATTGATGCAGCAAGCATGCCTTGAAGGTCCCAGGGCATATAAGGTTCTTCCTGAAGCAATAAATAGAAACAGAGTTAGACGGGCGTGTTTCCCGGACCTGGCGGATGAATGCTTTCTCGCAAACTCACATATAGATTAGGTTAAATAATAAGTAATTCAAATCGAAACCCATATATCGTCTATATTGCATTATCACTACCTCCATTATTTCCCTAGGACATCTTGTACACAATTCAAAGTGAGCATTCCCCTGAAATTCATCTAAAAACGTTGTTCTGCGTAACCCGAAATGCAAGAACTAAGAACAGAAAAATACTCATGAACCATACGTACCTTCGGTTTTCCGGATAAGTCAGGAGTTTCTTCGTTTTCCAAGAACTTCTCATCAGCTAATTGCATTAAAGTTTCTTGCACTTCATCGGGTCAATATTCGAATTCTTCGATTGCGTTATGTGTATAACATCTTTGCCTCCCATTTTAACCCCGACGATAACGTGAGTACCGTATTTCTCAATGAACCTGGAGAAGGAAGAACATAATCAGTACAGGTTTAGTTAATAAAACCAACACAGAGGACTGCGATCGTTGTGCGTGTGTTAATCCGAACAACAAGGACTGCAATTCATTAGGAAACAGAACATCTCAATTCCAAGCAAGTCTTTTACTCCAAAACGTACTCGACATATGTGAAAAAGTGTTAAAAGTTTCAAAGTTTGACAACCAACTTTGGAAAATGTTTTTTTTCAAAGTTTGGTAAATGTTTCTTTGAAAAATGTTTTTCAAAGTTTGGTAAAATTTTGGTAGATGTTTGTTGAAAATAGGAATGGATAAATTCACTTTAGTCATTGCACTTTAGGGTATTTTCAAAGATTAGTCCCTAAGTTTCTACTATAAATACCCTTACCCATTTAGCTTCAAAATCATCCCAAAACATTTCTTTCTTCCTATACTAGAGAGCTTTCTTGTGAGTAGTGAGTGTTTTGTAAACACCTGTAAATTTTCTCTCTTAGTAAAAGATCTGCAGCAGCCCGGAGACGTAAGCACAATTGGCTGAACTCCGTTATCAATTTTCGGGTATTATTTTTTCGCTTTTATTTTGCATTCTCACTAATCTGGTTATAGGGAAATTACTTGTACTCGATTTATTTTCCTAACAACTGGTATCAGAGCTTTTGGTTGTGAATTTTTTCAAATTTTCTGCGAGGTTACTATTGATTATTATTCACGTGAATAGTGAATTTCGTGAATAGTGAAATTCGATCGGTGATACGAGTTTGTCGACGGTGGTATTCTAATACACGGTGATTCGCAAGAATTGTCAGAAACGATCCAAACGAAGCCAGATTCGAGTGGGAGCGATGGCTGCAGACGAAGGGAAGGTGAAAATTGAAAAGTTCGATGGTGCGGACTTTGGTTTTTGAAAGATGCAGATTGAAGATTTTTTGTACCAGAAAAATCTATATCAACCACTCTCAGGAAAGCAACCAGAGGGCATGAAGGATGAAGATTGGGCTCTTCTCTACAGACAAGCCCTCGGAGTTATCCGACTGACGTTATCCCGCAATGTTGCTTTTAACATAGCAAAGGAAAAGACCACGGCGGGTCTTATGGCGGCTCTCTCCAGTATGTACGAGAAGCCATCGGCCTCAAACAAAGTTCATTTGATGAGGCGATTATTCAATTTGCGGATGGCGGAAGGGGCATCGGTGGCACAACACCTAAATGAACTCAACACAATCACAACCCAGTTGAGTTCAGTGGAAATTGAGTTCGATGATGAAGTTCGAGCTTTAATTCTCTTATCATCTCTATCAGACAGTTGGAATGCTACTGTTACAGCAGTCAGCAGTTCGTCGGGAAACAGCAAATTAAAATTCGACGATGTTTGGGATCTGGTATTGAGTGAAGAAATTCGACGAAGAGAATCGGGTGAAGCATCAACCTCCTCAGCCTTGCACACCGAGTCTAGAGGGAGAACTTCAGAAAGAAATTCAAATCGTGGCAGATCAAAATCCAGAAGGGGCAAATCAAGAACAGGAAATAAGGATTTTACCTGTTATAATTGCGGCAAGAAGGGTCACTTCAAAAGAGATTGCCGAGCACTGAAGAAAGATATCGGTGTACAGGAATCTGCCAACGTGACAGAGGAGACAGGTGATGCCATGATTCTAAGCGTCAACAGTCCGATTGAATCATGGATCTTGGATTCAGAGGCATCTTTCCACTCCACCCCATACCAAGAAATCATGGAGAACTATGTCAGTGGTGATTTTGGGAAGGTTCATCTTGCTGATGATGAAACCTTAAAGATCGTCGGAAAAGGAGACATCCGACTAAAGTTGCCAAACCAGACCACCTGGAAGCTGACAGGAGTGAGACATATTCCTGGCCTCAAAAGAAATCTGATTTCTGTTGGACAGCTTGATGGAGAAGGATATAGCACAACCTTTTCAGGCTGTGAATGGAAGATTACCAAAGGAGCACTCGTCATTGCTCGTGGTAAGAAGACTGATACTCTCTATGTAACCTCAAATTTAGAGAATATCATTGCAGTAGCAGATGCTGATGGAAAATCAAACCTATGGCACCAAAGGCTTGGCCATATGAGCGAGAAAGGAATGAAGATACTTCTGTCAAAAGGGAAGCTGCCGGATCTAAAGAATGTAGATGTCGGACTATGCGAGGATTGCATCTTTGGCAAACAAAAGAAAGTCAGTTTTGCAAAGATTGGCAAGACACCCAAGGCAGAAAGGTTAGAGTTGGTTCATACTGATGTATGGGGACCATCCCCAGTTCCATCTCTTGCGGGCTCACTATATTATGTCACCTTCATCGATGATTCAACAAGGAAGGTGTGGGTTTATTTTCTGAAGAAGAAATCAGAAGTCTTTGATACCTTCAGAAAATGGAAGGCCATGGTGGAAAATGAGACTGGTTTGAAAGTCAAGCGGTTGAGGTCTGACAATGGAGGAGAATACAGAGACAGTAGATTCAGAGATTTCTGCGCAAACAATGGGATCAAGATGGAGACAACAGTTCCCATAACACCGCAGCAGAATGGCGTAGCAGAGCGCATGAACAGAACTCTGAATGAACGTGCCAGAAGCATGAGGATACATGCCGGATTGCCCAAATTTCTATGGGCTGAAGCTATCAACACTGCAGCTTACTTGATCAACCATGGGCCCTCAGTTCCTTTGGATGGCAGAATACCAGAGGAAGCTTGGAGCAAGAAAGAAATAAACCTTTCATACTTAAGAGTGTTTGGTTGTATTTCTTATGTACACATAAACTCTGCTGAAAGAAGTAAACTTGATGCCAAGTCCAACAAATGCGTCTTTGTTGGTTACGGTGGTGATGAGTTCGGTT